AGTGTTGAAGTTATAGGATCTTTTATAATAGAAAATACACATGGAACTTGTCAATAATCTAATAATGTCAAAGTATTTTTTACAGAGTGTCAGAAACAAAAAACCTAGTAACCTGACAATAGAAGAATAGGCCACACTCTCAAAGAGGAACTTTACAAAGAACCATAGAGTTTCTATTTCAACATATTCCCTCTTTGTCAAGTTCAGCCAGTGTTTTCTCTTCCACTAAGCATTCCAATTTTTCCGCACAGCATTGTCAGCCTGGGCCTGAACAGCGGCTTGGTCATCATGTGAGCCAACTGCATCTCTAACGAAACTTTCTCCACTTTCAGCACACCGTCCGTTACAGCTTCCCTTATGAAGAAGTGACGAATCCTGATGTGTTTTGTTCGGCTATGAAACTCGTAAGGCGGGTTTCTAGCTAACTTAATTGCAGACTCGTTATCCACATACAGCACGGTTATATCATCTGTGTGTTGAATACTAGCCATCAAAACTTTCAGCCACATTATTTCCCGAGCTGTCTCACTCACAGCAACAACTTCTGCCTCGGTACTTGATATAGCAACAGACGCCTGTCTGTGGCTTTTCCAGGCAATTATCCCTCCAGCGTACATGCAAACCATTCCTGATGTGGACCTGCCTGTTTCTGGTTCTACCTCTTGCTGCAACTCTGGTAAGACTTCTTCATTTTCAACCTCACTTTCTATATGTTCAGAGCCACAATCTTCGAATCTTTCATCATCACTGGGCTCTTCTCCATCATTAACTCGATCAGCTGTATCTGGTTTTACAAGTTTAACTATCGCTTCTGGGATTTCTATTTTACCGATAAGACCTTTCTGGACATTTGGTTCTGGAATACTCTCCTTCGTCTCATCCTTAGACTTCAAAGGCTTTTCTTCAAACGTTACATCTCTGGATCGAACTATTTTGTTCTTTTCTTTAACCCAAATTCTATAACCCTCGTCATTATCGTAACCGACCAGCACACCTTTTATAGCTTTCTTGTCCAGCTTCTTTCTCGTTATTTTAGGAACGTGTGCATAGCAAATACTACCAATTACTCTCAAATGCTTAATCCTGGTTGTATCAGATCTCGTACGGTGACTTGTCTAGTGGAGTAGGGCCCGTTCTATTCAGTATGTACACTGCGGTATCCACTAACTCAGCCCATAGACTTTCAGGTAAGTCATTTGCATGCATCATCGTTCTCATTGCTTCCACAGCGAACCGCTATTATCTCTTTCTACGCATCCGTTTTGGTTTGGCGTGTGTGGCATTGTCAATCTTTGCTTTATGCCATACGACTCCAATATTCTTCTCACATTTCCGTTATCAAATTCTCCTCCATTATCACTAAATAGCTCTCTTACTGTATGTCCTGCAGTCTTTGCTTCAGCTAACATCACTTCAAGCTTCTTATGAACTTCTGATTTCTCTCTCAGAAAGTAGATACAGCGGAATTTGCTGAAATCATCTTTGAAGAGTACAAAATACTTGTATTTGGATAAAGAGTTGGTGAACGGCCCGCATACATCTACATGTATTAGCTCTCCTGGTTCAGAAGCTCTTTCTCTTGTTCCAAATTTCAACTTATGTGCCTTACCATATACACAACCCTCACATAGTTCTTTGTCTAGCTTCATCTTAATGCCAAATTCTCTCTCAATCACCTTCTTCACATGTGATTTGCTCTGATGAGCCAACCTCTCGTGGTAAAGCTGCAACTGATCCTCTTTTGAAATGTTGTTGACTTCATTTGGACACTCAGATCTGATATTTCTGACTTTCAGCTTAAAAAGACCTCCATCTTTTTCTCTTTCTCCAATGAGTAACACTTTTCCATGCTGTAACAGTTTGCATTCTTCGGTTGTAGACATGAAAAGGCTGTTTGACATCTTATCTTGAGCTGACAGTACTGAAAATAGGTTTTTCTGTATTGTAGGCACATACCATACATCATAAAGTGCTATCTGTTCATTACGACCCTTTACATCAGCTTCTATGTATACAATTCCTTTCCCAACTGCCTTGATTGTATCTCCATTAGCTGTCGTAACGGTGTGTGAAGTGTTAAACGTCTCAAATGTCTGGAATAGATCCTCCCTGTTCGTGACGTGGCTTGTAGCTCCGTTGTCCACATACCAGTGATCTTTATCAGCAGAATCATTTGGATTCACTGCCATAATATGCATATTCACACTCATAGTAGGTCCTTTTGACTTAGATGTTAATGGTTTTGGCTTAGGTGGTCGTCCATCGGATATCCATTTAGAGCATCCTCTTATTCTGTGACCGACCATGCCACAATAGTGACATTTGTCTGTGCTCGCTTCCACCTTACTCTTCTCATAATTCTTACTCACTTTACTATTCTTATTTGTCGTAACTTTGCTGTCTCTCACTACTAGTGCTTCTATCTTCTCTTCATACTTACTCGATAAAGCTCTTTCGTGGTTACTTAACTGAGTTGTTAGATTTTTTACAGTCCTGTCTTCTTTTGACATCATCATCCAGCTTGACTTAAACGAGAAGTACTCTTCAGGTAAAGTATCCAGTATCTTACAAATTAGGAATAGTTCTGGCAGCTCTTCTTTCAGGTGTTCCTTCTGGAGTTCCCTGGTAAGTTCTGACCAGATATTTTTCAATTTGCTGACATGTGCTGGCACGTCACCACCACATTGCATCTTATAACTAAAGAACTTCATGCATATGTCGTAGGCTTTGCTTTCTGATATACCATCATACAGGCGATGTTATTCCAGCCATACATCTCTTGCAGTAGAATACCTCATGACTTTTTCGCAGTTTTCTTGTGACAAATTCGTTGAGATGAGTATCAAGGCTGCGCTATCCGCTGACACATACTTTTGCTCTTGTTCTTCATACTTTTTACATCTGCAGCTGTTGCATCCACTATTAGTTACTCGGGCGGCACTAGCTTGCCCTCAACTACATCTTGGATCTTCAAACCTCGCAGCGCAATCATTATTTTGAATTTCCATATTGCCCAGTTCGATTCATCAAGTGCTCCTACGTGAATCTTCGCTGCATCAACGATTGAATTTTGCATCTTGAGCTCTCGAACTATCAACACGTAATTTCTATCTGAATTTTATTTCCCGGAACCATGCTCTGCTACCATGTTGAAGTTATAGGATCTTTTATAATAGAAAATACACATGGAACTTGTCAATAATCTAATAATGTCAAAGTATTTTTTACAGAGTGTCAGAAACAAAAAACCTAGTAACCTGACAATAGAAGAATAGGCCACACTCTCAAAGAGGAACTTTACAAAGAACCATAGAGTTTCTATTTCAACAATTAGTACCCGAGACGGCGTGCGGTTTTAGTCGGTTCGAGTCCGACATGCCACCGATAGGTGGTATCCGAGGGGATTGCCGCACGAAAAAAAAAAAAAAAGGTGCTCGATAGCCAGCCTTCGAACATACGTCAAAATTTCATTTGTGCTGCCAATTTTCTTTATAAAGTGTAACGGATATCGAATGCATATTAACTAAATATTTGTCAGAAACATTTGAAGAAACTTCTACTACATTAATAAAATCTAATATACTTAGTATGTACCTATATATATTAATCTAATTAATTATTTGTTTAGTGAAATAAGGCGCAGAGATAAACGAAGAAATATAAAAGTGAAGCAAAATGGAAGTGTCTGTTTGTAATATAAAATAATAGGTTTTTTTCATGCTCTCACGGTTATTTGCAAGATATCTATGCCTAAAAACCAGTTTCAATATTTTTTATCTGTCTGTTTGTTCGGGTAATCTTCAAAACGGCTGGACCGATTTTGATAATATTTTACTACCAGGTAGCTATCTATACAAGGAGTAACTTAGGCAAAAAAAATGCCCGGTCCGGGAATCGAACCCACTAAGGCAGCGCTTTTCAGATGACGTCACTAAGGTAATCGTATCGAGCTCTCGATACCTTAACGTTAGTGCTTCGTGCTACCGCCTATCGTAAAACTCCGTAAACATATCGAGTACTCGATACGTTTACGATTCGCATTCGAAAATTTTTCGTGCTCGAGGCACAGACAAACAATCAAATCGAAGGAATTCAATGAAAAATATTAGCTGACAAGTTTTAAACAACAGAGGCAGTCACATTTGGCATTGAATACCCAAATAATAATATCAAACACGTTATATAATTTTATAAAACATGAAAAGTTTAATTTCGTTTTAACTACTATGCTATGCTACGGTACACATATTGTAAATTATTGTGATTAAATGGAATAAAATCACAATCACGTGTTGTAAATCATATGAGAAATAAATTATTTCAGGGCACCTGTTACTGACTTACTTGTCACTGCTACTTAATTATTATTTTCTAGCGCAGGACTCGCGAAAGGTCAAAATCTAAAAGAAAAGTGTCGGTGTCTTTGATAAAAAGAATTTTGATAGATGCCACTTATCTTTGTCCATGACAAGATTACACTCACATGTGAAATCGCTGTGACTAAAACCAATAATTTTATCAAATGAATATGATTTAAAGGTAAAATTAATTCCAGTGTCTAACTGACACTGTGACTATGTGACATTTACAAATTAGAAGATGTCAATGTCAAACTACCAAGAAGACATTTTGGGGGGGTGCCTGTGAAAGTGTTTTTAAATCTAACTTTTTAAAATTACTTTGTGTGACATGAAAAACAACTTTGATCAAAGTTTGTTAATATATATATATTAAATATAATCTTTGTGAAATGTTTTTTTTTTTTTAATTTTACTGAATGAAAGTTGTGCTTTTGTTATATAGTGTTTCGTTATAAATAAGTAGTGTTTTATTAAATGAAAGCTGATAATAATAAATAAAACATACTAACTTACATTAATTATGTAAAATTTTAAGTTCTTCAAGTTATTATACATTTAATCAGAATTTACTGTTGGCAGCAAGTTTTGTTTGGGTAAACATCATCAACATTATATACTCCATTTATAATAGGTTAAATCATGGATAAAAAAGAAAATTTTGGTAGTCGGAGCCAAAACGTTAGTGCTGAGCAAAAATGCCTATTATATAAACTTGTTGATGAAGATCAAGAGCTCAAAAGTACAAAATTTATATCTCGTTGGAAGTTTATTGCTGAACAGTTAAATACATTAAAAGGGTCCAAGAAGACAGCAAAGGAGTGGTGGTTGGTATGTCACATCTGTTCCATACTACTTAAATAGAAATATAAGTTATTACTTTGTCTGCCATAATTTACATTAACATGTGCTGCGTTAAATAGTTGAAAGTTCATCCATTAATTTGGGTCATTTTTTTTCTTTATTTCGACGGCGGTAGGAAAAACTTTAAGTCCAAATATTAGACTTATTTAACTAATAAATTATAAACATCAGCTTATTGCCGTCTGCTAAACGAAGGGAGCCCCCAAGGAGACCAACAGAAAAAAAAAATTAACATAAGTATGAAGGAAGTGTATTGTATGTGTAGGACTGTAGGGGTTCTCAATGGCTGCCTTATTATTGTATGCAGGGGCCCCTGCAATAGGCTTATGGTGGAACAGTGTGTTTGTAGTTTATGGTCATTTAAAGCATCTGATCTCAATATCTAAAACATCACTTCAAAAACTATATTAATATTGGTGGTGGACTCTGGTCAGAAATCTCCTTGGGTGTTCATGAGTGATATAAATAATATTTATTGCTGTCTATAACTAGTATCTTTTAAAAAAAAAAACACTGCACAAATGGCATAGTGGTTTAAGTGGTCGCCACACTGCTTCCTACCTTCCCCATGGAGAAGGTAGGAAGCAGTGTGGCCACAAATTGTCGTTCTGAGTCTGGATGGTCTAAACAAAACCAAAAATTAGTTTAGAACTGTCAATTACTACGTTTTTAGAATACGAAACGATATTTGACAGGACTAAATAATTTTTTAGTGATTTTTAGTTTAGTTTAGAGAGTTTTCAAACAACAGAATTAGCACCAATATATTCCTAATGCGAAAAATGACTTTTTTATATAAAAAAAAAGAAGTCGCTATGCACCTTCTGACCATGAGGCTTTTTAGTGATAATTCATTCTTCAAAACCAGTTGTCTTCATTTTAAATCTGTTGTCAAACAACTCAAATGCAGCAAAGATAATGTAATATGTTAATGCAGGAACTGTTTTTTTGAAAATAAAAAAGCTAACTTAAAGATATATTAATGATAAATTTAAGTTTTACAATAACCTCTTGCAAATATATTTTAGAGATATCAGCTTGAGAACAAATGTCGCACTGCTGGCCAAGCAAGTGGTGTCAGTGAAAAAAGAAACATACAACCTACAGTTCAACTAAATCCTAGTATATCATCAACTGAACCTGTAACCTGTGCACCAGGTGAGTTTATAAATTAGTTCAAAAGATTTGTTTCCAAATATAGATAATTAATAATAAAGTGTTTTAAGTGCCTAGCTATAACTAGTAGTAGTAAAGACTATACTGTATAGTCAACTACAAAACAACAGGAGATGTTGAAGTGGCTTCAACCACTTGTAACCTTTTGTAGGAAACTCTTGCTTTATAGTTCACTGCTCAGACTTATAGCTTTGAGAAACCAAATCAAGTTACTTTAAGATATACTTTTAGTTAAGTCAAGATACTTTTAGATAAGATAACTCTTTTTTTTGCACACATTTTACAAGTATTATGGTACATAAAAATATCAGACATATATTGTACAAAGGGCGGCCTTATTACTAAGAGCAATCTCTTCCAGGCAACCTTAGGAGGGATTAAAATGTTTTGGACAGTAGTAGTTGAAGGTACAATGGTAAAATATTTAAATATTTACACATAAAACACATATACAATATACACACATATACATACAATATACACATATACATACAAATACTTATATATTTATACTAAAGAGACAAAAATTCTGCATTTCTGTTTATTCTGCAACAAAATCTACTCATCTATTCATCATCATCAACAGCCTTTAATAGTCCACTGCTGGACAAAGGCCTCTTCTTAGAAAATAGGTTTTGGCCTACTTTACCATGCTGACCAGATGGGTTGGTATAGGGTTTGTTTCAAGTTTTCCTTCTTTTCTCTTAGTCGGCTCTTACGACACCCAAAGGATCAACAGGGGTCACACTCTGTATTCTTAATCCACCACACCACACAATGACAGAATAAATAACAATGAGAGCCTGAATGTGACATATTTCTAATTGCAGGACAAACTGATGCAACATTAAATACCTTAGCTGCTGCTTTAAATGATCTTAACACAAACGATATGTAAGTGTTTTTTTTTTGTATGTGTTAAATGTAACTGACTCTCTAGAATGAAAGTGTCCTAACTCAGTATGAAATTTGTGGGTAGTTATTTTTCCTATGTTTGGGCATTCCATTTAAAAAAAAAACTTGCTGCAGTGACAGTAATTGTGTACCCATTTTAAAAAGAAACTATTAAGTAGAAATTAATGTATTACTATTTATTTATTATATTTTATACTAACATTAGAATTATTACCAACATAATATGGAAATTTTTCTGAAATAAATATAATAAAATTATTTTTATGGCATGTTGTCAGTCTCGATAATTTTGGAATATTAATACACCAACATGTTATTGGACACTGAAGGTGCATCTTTGGTTTTGGCTGCATTTTATAATTATGTTATAGATCCAAGTTAAAAAGCAGTACCATGCATAAGTTAAAGTTCTTATTGTGCGCTGACGATCATAATGATTGGCTAGATCCGTCTTATCGTATGTCAATCACAGATTGGCTTCTGTTCGACACGGTACTTGTGCATGAAAATTTCGACGTTATTCAAGTGGTAAGTTGGTTCAAAATTCATTTCTCATTTCTTTGAGAAACAAATAGTGTCTCATGCATTACTACTTATTTTAGCATAGGGAAAATGGAACTGGCCATAAAGCTTTGCTAGCTTTATTTCACCTGGTAGAGAAGTATAATATAGAGTCTTTTGAAGGCGACTCTCTGGCGGAAGCATGGGCAGCTCTCACGATAGAATATAACGCAGCGTAAGTTCTTGATTCATTCAAATTAGAATATAATCTTACCTAAATCATAGATGCATAAATTGTGTTCAAAGTTGATCATTGACCATCTTGACCGACCTTATGAGTGACACACTATGACTTTTCAAGCTCTTAACAATATTCAATACTACCTTATATATTAGGTCGTTCCGAAAATTGTTACCTACAGAATAAATACATTCTCTTTTTCCTGAAACTATTTTAAAATGACAGCTAATAATTGTGGCTAAAAATTTTCAGCAAAGAGATTTAGCTGTTCTATTTTTTATGTACCTACTTCTTTATTTAACTATTTTTAAAAACTGAATCTGTTAACTGACGAAACTTGGATCTACAGTCACGATCCTCTCACGAAGCAACAATCCACGCTATAATAATAATAACAACTTTACACATCTCACACACGGCTCGTTATCGACTCTCTCCTTAGGCATTGTCCCGAACTCCTGGAAGATAGCGTTTGTGCACCCGATTACTAAAAAAGGTGTTCGCTCTGATCCGTCCAACTACAGGCCTATAGCTAAACCCCCACGTTCTCTAAGATTATGGAATCCGTAATCATCTGGCAGCTCCTCCGGTACTAATAAAATCAGCAGCTACTCAATGACCGCCAATATGGTTTTCGCCGGGGTCGCTTAGCTTCTTGTGATCTTCTCGTTTATCTAACACACCGGTGGGCACAGGCGATCAAGACAAAGGGAGAGGCTTATGCGATAAGCTTGGACATAGTGAAGGCGCTTCTCTCAAAGCTCCCTTCTTATGGGCTTGCCGAGAAATTATGTAACTGGGCCACCAGTTTCCTTGCAGACAGAAGCATTAAGGTCGTTATTGACGGTGCATGCTCCGACTTGAAATCTGTAAATGCTGGTGTCCCGCAAGGCTGTGTGATATCACCCACACTGTTTCTTCTGCATATCACTAATATGTTGCAACTAGTAGCATCCATTGCTATGCAGATGATAGCACGGGAGATGCCTTTTATACCGGTCGCCACAATATTTCTCGGGCAATCATCATCGAGAGTCGAAACATACTTGTATCTGAAATTGAAAGTTCCTTAGCGGAGGTTTCAGAACGGGATAAAGATACCGTTTGTCGAGAACACCTCTCTAACTGCCTCAGCCAGTATCGGAATCCTAGGTTTCGAAATATCCAGCGAGGTCCAGTTTCGGGGTCCTTTAGAGGGTAAGGTCAAATTGGCCTCGAAGAAGTTGGGTGTGCTGAACAAATTGAGGCAGTATTTCAACTCTATATATATACCAGCTTCTCCCTCTGGACCGTATCCAACGAAGAGCAACTCGAATCGTCGATAGCCAAAAGATCTCTGACCGGCTCAATTCCTTGGCTTTACGTGCATTCTTTATCGTATGTATCACGGAGAGTGCTCGGAGAAATTGTTCGGACTAATACCAGCCGCAATTTTCCGCCATCATTCCACACAGCTAAATTTTAATCCTCACCACATGGATAATTGGCACTCCACCACTGTGCGCTTTTCTAGATACTTTTTGCCTCGCACAAGCAATCTGTAGAACAAGTTATCGTCTGCGTTATTTCCGAACCAGTATGACCTTCAAGAAACGAGCGTACTCCTTCCTCAAAGGCCGGCAACGCGCTTATGACTCCTGAGTTGCAGGCGTTCATGAGCGGCGGTAGTCGCTACCCATAAGGTGACCCGTCTGCTCATTTGCCTCCTCTTCCATAAAATGTGAACAGACTAATCCCAAACTAGGCAGAACCTGTACTATGGTAACCAGCCTGCTGATAAACATACAATGGGCCTTTGAAGAAGACGAATTCTTTACAAAGCGTTATCTAAATTGAAAATTGATAGCGGTTTCGTAGATGCCACTAGAAGACCGTAGAACAGTTACATGGATCACATGATGGAAGTGATCCGTCCGCTCGTATATCATAAAAAACCGCTAACACGATTCAATTTTAAATGTTTAGAAAGCTGGTTCACCTGAACGCATAAATGCATTGGGGTTGGACAGGAATATTTTGAAAAGCTATTGTTCTTGAGATTTTTTTAATTCTAAAGCCTATTTAAAAACTGTTCACATTTACGTATTTTTTTATTTAACTAACAATTTTTAGAACAGCACACGTAGGTATAATTTATGTCAACGAACGTAAGGAAGCAGAACTTTTTTCTTAAACATATTTCTGTTAAAGATTTTTTTTAATTTGTAACAAGATTTACCGATTCTTGAGGAAGTAGGCCTTTTAATATCGAGCTACGACCTTTAGTAGAAAAGCTTACAGTTTGACAATAGTAGAAATGAACTATTTCAGGGGCCGCCAATGTACTCCAATGTTATTACAACGGCGTTGGTATCAGTTAAAGTTGGCCGCAAGAGAGAGTATCTATAAATTCCGGTTAATGTATTTGGCAACACCAAACGATATGAAACGAGTACTTAAGTTTAAGCCTACTTCATTGCAGTTAGCTGTTCTTGTACGGTGCGTATTTAAACATGTTATTAAAGTTAGATAGTTTGCGACTCTTTCCTATCTAAACTACTCAATTGATGAACCAATCTATATAAAAAGTTTGCATACATATTACCACGCATAGAGAAACGACGCGGAGTACCTTTCATAGAGAGTATACTAAATAACTCCGTGTGGTGACGAATTATCAATCCCGTGGGTGCCATAAAAGCCGACTAACGGAGCAAACTACGCAGGAAAACAGCACTTCAAAAAGAAGGGAAACTTGACATAAACCCTATGCCAACCCTTCTGGCCAGCGTGGTACACTAGGTCAAGATCTCCTTTCTAAGTAGAGGCCTATGTCCAGCAGTTGACTATTAAAGGGTTTTGATGATGATGATAAAAAATATGTTGTATGCGAATATAGTCGCATATTCTTTTTATTCTTCTTCACGTGATCTTACGCTAATCTCTCTTTTGTCAATCATTTCAGGTGGCAACACTACTTTTTTTGTAGTTGCACAATATACCTTATGTTCTTATATAACATACCCCTGACAATATGTGTATATGTAAAATTTCATGATCCGTTAAGGCGAACACGCCAAACAAACTCATAATTGTATTTGTGAGTCAGGATGATATAATAATAATAATAACTTCACATACCTCAGACACAGCAGCCTAGTTTTGGATATCAATATTCTGGTTACCATAGTACAAACTATGGTAACTAGACTATTGATAAACATACTTAAATATTTCTAAATACATACATTTTATAAATAAATTACACCCATATACAGAACAAATGATCGTACACATCACACAATTATTTTTCCTGGGTGAGAATCGAACCCACGACCTCTGGCTTCGCAGTCAGGATCAGTAACCACTAGACTAACAGGCAATCTATGAATTTTAAATGTTATTATTTTGTAGGTATAGTCAAAAAGTGGTATTAGAACCATTCATGTCATGGGAGGATCAGATCAAAAACGGGCTGGTCATACTTCGGGAACAATTTGTAAGTATGCCCACATAAACTTATTTTTCCTGGCACAAAGGCCCTGGATTCTACTGCTGAGACCAGAAAAGTTTTATTGATTTAGGAAACTTTCAGTATTAGAATAGAGTCCAGCAGAAAAATATAACAGTTCACCATCTGTCCACCACTACCTGGACCTGACTATGAAGTATTAATTAGCGTAAAAAAAATATTATCTTTGGCGGGCTCGATATTTCAAATTGCTTTTATGTGTCATATGTTGATGAACAAGGTGTTTTAGAAAATCAGCTACAGTTAGAACCTAATCTTGTATGAGTTAGTTTTTTCAAAAACGTCACGTTGATCGCAAAGTTACTGCGCACGTAACATCGTTTTTTTTCATGATTTATTTCTTGCTTATATTTCAGGTATCAATTGCAATGAAAAGCAAAATTGGACAGACACCAAGTACTCATACAGGTAGGTGGACAAACATTGTCACCTTTTTTTTCCTGTGCGCAAATCCCCTTGGATACCCACCCACCTTGACATGTTTTTATTGTTTGGCGTAGGACAAACCAGCTGACTGGTCACCTGATGGTTAATAATTATCGCCGTGGACACCTGCAGTTGCTATAAGCAAACTGGCTTGCGTACAGCCCTTTTTTTCGGCGACTTCCGGCACACGCGGACGTCGCCTCCTCGCGATTGGCTGTTATGAAGGGTTGAAGGGGAAACCTAGTCCCGTCAACCCGCGGCCACACTCAGGGCGGCATGAGGCGATGGTAAGCGCCCCTTCGCCGCCCAGTTCGCCGGTGACAAATTGGGTCCTAGTGGATGTTGTCCTCCCAGGCCCTCTCCGCCGCCGCGGTGAAACATCTGTCACGTGCTGTGCGTGTGCTGACCCGAGTCCGCACTGCAATTACAGTGATGACAGGCCGGACTCAATTCCCGCCTAGAGACCGAGTGCAGGTACTTCCCGAAGCAGCCGTGCCCGGCAAGGACCTGCGTGAGCCGGATGGAAAGGGTCCCGTGCCTCCCTTACCCACTCGATGATGACCGGCTGGAGCGCTTCCACGACGGCAAAGCCAGCACGTGGAGCCTCCAGCCGGGACGACATACGAGCCATCGTGGCTTTGCGAGCGGCCTCACGCCACTCGCGTATCTCTTCGGGCGGGGGCCAACTGCCGATATACTACAGCTAGTACTTCCGCCTCCAAATCCCACGGGGGAGTACCGGCCAATGCGCACGCCGCCTCCGTCGAAACGGTGCAGTAACCGCGTATGGCTCTAACCGCCAATATCCTCTGAGGGCGCCAGAGACGTGCCCTATTCTGAGCGGTCAGAGCCGCCGCCCACACCGGTGCACCGTACAGTGCCATGCCTGCGTACCCTGCCGTACCGTGCCCTGCCACAGCGTCGAATTTCAAACTAAGTTAGTTTGAAGTTCGACGGCAGCGCTGTACGCAAGGCTGTTTCCTTAGAGAATATCACTGGTGGAACATAAGAGTCCCAAATACGACGCAGCCTTTGAACCCTCACCTCCTCCCCTCCCCCAGAATCAGCTCGCCGGGAGGTTTGCGCTCTGGTAACCTCATCGAATATCCGTGAAACACAATGAAAGTATTGTTTAACACTGCTTGTTTTCTCCTAGACCGTGGTACCGCTCTGGTCGATCCGGCCTGTTTTAAATCTGCATGTTTGTTAAATTACGATCTAGGTTCAATTATTCGTCAGTGATACTCAGATATAGAGAATGACCGCGTCACTATTTAATTTATTTAAATTTTGCTCAAACCGCTTACACCATAAGCGCATAAAGGAGAAAATTATTCGTTTTTAGTTATTCTAATCTTATCTTCATCTACAAATGATAAAATAATTTTGTTACAGAAACATTGGCAACTATAGATTTAACTTCGACAGAAGATGAAATAAACATAATAAAAAACAAGGAATTCGGAGACGTCACACTACAGCAAGTTACACCAATCGAATATAATGATGAAAATATGTCTTCTGAGGCACAAGAGCATGAAACATCACAAATTATCGAAAAAGGTGAAGAATGTTTAATTAGAAATGACCCTGAGGTCAGTATCGAGACAACGCCTAACGAAAAAAATAATAGCGATGCTTCTATGGATAAGATGACACTTGATACGATGACAGAACCAGATAAACTAGAAGACAATGAGATGGACACGGAAAATTACCCATCCAATGATATCCCAATTTCTGATAAACCAACTGTAGTAGTACCTGATCCGTTTAGAGAAATCATAGGTTTTGATAAACAAAAACCAGTTTTACCACAAATTACGAATGTTTTCGGTAACGTCCAAGTACCTATTGAAGCACTGTCTAAGATCAGTGTGTTGGCTACGAAAATTGCTAAAAATAATATAGAAAACAAAAGACATATTAATGCTTCTCATAGTGAACAAAACAATCAAATCAACGAAGGCCTTGAAATTGATTGTGAAATCGGTAGGTGTATAAATTTTAGTTGATTACAATAACTGTTTGCATTGTTTTTTTAGGTATATAAATTACCAGTAACTTAAACGCATATTTAGTCACCGCTAACCCTCCAGCACCATAATTATATTATAAAATAACAAGCATAATTATGATTTCAGATAAAGCTGAAGCGATTGACGACGGAAAGCCACTTGGGACTATGGTAGATGAACAGAAAAAAGAAGTCCCTACAAAAGATAAAAAACTGTTTATGATTCCAGTAGTAAATACGGTAAAATTAGAAGACATGGGTGTATTACCTACGCGTTTATGGCATCGTGTTAAAAATAAAGAAATAATAGATGTCGTTAACACAAAAAGTAAAGTAACAGATGATAAAGCTCCAAAATTAAAGAATAACAAAAAATTTAGTTTAAATAAAGTTCAGCTGTGTAGCTCACGTGTCAACAAGTCGCGCCAGCGCTCATATAGTTATTCTGAACTATCTAAGAATCCAGATTTCAATATTCCCCTTAAAAAACTAAATCGTCAATTCTTCAGGTCAGATCGCAATCGAATGTTGCTAAGAGCATGCAAACCACTTTGTGTAGTTGTTGATAAATCCTTTGAAAGCAAACTTGTAAACGGAAGAATGTATTTAAAACCTACTGCATTTTGCCAAAATAATGAATCATTTGATCAGATGAAACCTAATGACAGCCACCCCAATGTTTTTCTTGAATCATCAGATGCAAAAAAAAATATAAGGAATACTAACACTGAACAAGCCTTCATTCCAATCGCGTCACAACCTTTTAAAGATAACATATCGCTGCTACCTCTTGTACCTGACGCCTTACCTAGTAATAGTCCTCATGATTTAATACCAATGGCATCAAACCCTGATAAATTTAACATAGCACTACCCCTCATAACCAGCGCTATACCTAGTAATAGTCCTCTGGCTTTAGAATTTGACACGTTACCAAGTAGTTCTTCTTTTGAAACAAATCGATATCAAAATACTAATTCACCTTCCAAAAAAATTATAACTATCGTACCATCAAAAAATACAGAACCCACAGATACAGAGCCATTGCTGGTTAATAATAGTTATAATGCCTCAGAGAGATTATTAGACTTGTACACCCTCAATAAACTATTATGTATGTTAGTCAATGTTGAAATGAACAAAACTGAGCACAATGATATTAAGGCGACTGCTAAACAAAATAAAGTTGTAGACAAAGGCAGTAATAATTTAAAAGATACCAGTGAACCTACAGTCAATAACTCAGGCACTGACACTGTTAACGCGGATAAAACTGAGGGAAAAAAGACAAAATATTATAGTAAACATATTAAACCCTGTTGTTGGGCGCAAGCAAAGCTAAGGTCAATGGATACTATTGGTAAACGGGTGCTTCTGCCTCATAATTGTGTATTTCCATCATGCGAATGTTGCTGTAAAAAAATATTAGCAATGTATTATATTAACAACAAAATACCTAAAAATAATAATTCGAAGCCACCAAAACAAAAAAATAAATCGAAAAACAAACTTATTGAACTTAACGACTTTCTAGCCGATGTAGTAACAACATTTTCAGATCAATCCTTAGACAAGTTCTTATCGTTGGGGAATAATAAAATATTATTAACTACGACAAAGTTTCCTAAGAATTTCAATTTATTTACTGGTTTTCAACGTTATCTAGAAAACAACTTGTTACCTAAAGCCATTCGATTAGTTTTAAAGCCGAATGGTAGAGTATTTCTTAAACGTGACATTAGAGCACCTGTAGACCCTAAAATTTTAAAAGAGATAATAGATTTAGTTGATGAATTTAATCAGCTCAGCCGTGTGCCTACTGCACAGCATAATAATAATAATAAGAAAAATAACAAAACGTTTCCTGATAAAACTCCCAACACAACACTTAATAAAGAATCTTCATGCATTGAAGATACAAAAGAAATAGACATTTCAATACCAGAACATATTAAAGAAACTCCTAAGTCGGTTATTTCAGAACAATTAAAATTAACACTAAATCCTATTTTTTGTAACACAACTACTACAATTTTATCCGCTCAATTTAAACAAGAACCACAACCAACCAAAGAAAATGCTACCGTTATGGATAAGATAAAATCATGTCTTGGTATGGTATTTTATAAGACGCTCACTCCAATTAAATTAGTGTCAGAACTGAAGTATGCTTACTCACAAAATGGTTTATTTTTTAAGTTAGATCTAGACACTGGGTCACTTGTGCCTATAAACGTGTGCATTAAAATGCATCGGATACCCATACTAGATTTTGATCCGGGTTCAAACAATTCATTATCTGTGCCAAGAAAACACAAAACACTCTTTCCAATCAACTCTCAATCGCCTAGTTTACTTACATACGACCTGGAATCAGTGTCCTCTCAATCCCCAATATCAATTCTATCCACATCCCCTGGGCCCATTTCATCCTCCCTACCTGGAGAAATTTCATGCAAACCGATTGAATCAACTGTTTCAGAATTTTCTATACCCGACAACAATGGTCTTTGTAACGTGTCTAATATTTCTTATGCATCAGATATACCATTTATTAGGAAACCCCTTGTGTCTCTTAAAGTTGAAGACGAGTATATCATTAGTGATGATGACGACGACAATGCAGAATCGTGGAATATATTTGATAAATTTCTAAACATAGATGACGGTCCTGAGGAATATATTGAACAGCAAAAAGAATCTTCAAATGCTCCCATAGGTTTCGAAGATCAAATAGTAAAAATCCTTAAAGTTGAACAAGTATAACTAAAAAGGGAATCTATGTTGTAAGTGCAGAAATGCATTAACTAGAAAACACGTTAAGAATCATCCAGACAAGTCGAGTGGATTGTGGCCATACAAATGATACAAATGGTACTTCTAATATCGAAGAGTTCATGTGTAAAAACTGAGTCTGGGGACTAGGAAAGGTGTTTTTAAGAAAGAAAAGCCAAGTAATAAAATTCTGACGTTACTATGAATTTTATCGCCTCTCAACTACCCATTAATTAATATTATTTAACAAGCACTAATACTAAATTGTATTTTTACGCGTTTCAATATTTGTCTGGTTGCTCATATTCTCGGGCACTCCAGCGCCATTAAAATGGCTTTTGTAATAAAAAAATATAATTTAATAAAATAATACAATAACATAATTTATTATAAAGACTTCAGCGTTATCATAATATAATACTTGTGTGAAATTACTTCTACCTAACTCTAGATTCACCCAGGTTTCATACGGTTAGTAAATATGGCTACGTAACCAGAGAAAGATTTGGTAACGCTAACTTAAATCACAATACTAATAACTACCGCTGCTAATATTGATATCAGATTAATATAAAATATATTATTACATTGATTGTGTCGGGTTCAATGTGACTTATTATTGTAAATATAAATTTTGTTCATTTTTATATAATTACTGAAATAGTTATAAGTAATTTATAACCTGTTATGAATATCTTACAAACTGCCTTAATGTATGTATATGAGTAGATAAAACAAAGTTAAAATATAGTGTTTTAATAACATTGAGTTTCTTTTTAATGTCCTGTATTGTCCGTGTAGTGACGGATTAAGAATACGGAATGTCACTACCCCAATTCATCCCGTGGGTGTCGTAAGAGCCGACTAAGGGCGCAAAACAACGCAGGTCACCAGCACTGCAAAAAGAAGGAAAACTTGACACAAACTCTATACCAACCCGTCTGGCCAGCGTGGTGTAGTAGGCCAAAACCTCCTTTCTAAGGAGAGGCCTATGTCCAGCAGTGGACTATTAAAGGCTGATGATGTGATGATGATGATGTGATGTCCTGTATTTTTTACCCAAATGTGTATTATGGATGTGGCCTGTCGATGAGCCTTTTCTTTTTTTCTTGTGCGGAAATCCCCTCGGATACCACCCACCGGTGGCTATGTATATACTCGAACCGACAAAACCGCACACCGTCTCGGGTACCAGTAGCCGGGGAACCAGCTGTACCCTAGAAGGGAAATCCCTGGTAGCCCGACGTACCTCGGCCCATCTACGGACTGGGAGAGTTCTTAACCTCTCCCGGTCCCGCTCCGCCATTTTCTTCGCAAGCATAACTTACTCGCAGAAGGAGAGGGCAGAGTTCCGCGCACTCTCGCACCGCACCATGGCCCAATTATGTTTTCGAGCGAGAAGACTCCTAAAACCTGTGTCTGATTTGCAAGGAGCCAACGCCTGAGTGCCACCAATGCGATGGCCGCCACGAGGTCACGCCTGTACTCCACCCACGCCGGGCATTCTGCCAACGTGTGAAGCGCTGTGTCAACGGTCCGGCCATCGCATTGGTGGCACTCAGGCGTTGGCTCCTTGCAAATTAGATACAGGTGGCATCCTTTTCCAGTGATCATGTCATCGGGTCCCCTCATGTTGAGCAGCAGCCGCGCCAATTCACGCGCTGCTTCAATTAACTTAGGGACCAGACCTCGGAAATAATATTCGAAGTCCCATCGGACCTGTCGATGAGCCTGCTAGTGGGCTATTCGAATGTTTTTTCGGCCCTGATCTTATAAATGGCTTATCATACTAAAAAAAGATGATACTTTCACTCAGGTATGTTAGATTGTGGTGAGCCAAAGCTGGTACAGATGTCGCTAAAAGACTCTAAAAGCTGATATTTGAAAAAAGGTTTGTACACACAATGACGTTATAATAATAATAAATCATTATCTTTTATGTTCTTTTAAAGGATATTTTGAATTATCGAAGAAATTCTTGATTAGACGCCGAAAGCCGGGCCTCGATCCTGGAAGAAGGTCATAGAGGGACTGGACAGGGATTCATAGGGGCGCCCTTACAAAATGTACTGGGCAAGCTCAGAGCGTGGGTCCCACCGCTGACGCAGACCCTGGACCCGGAGTTTATGGGAAGAGTGGTAGATACCCTCTTCCCCAGGGACAAGGGTAGTACCTCAAGGCCTCCGTCACCGTCGGAACCGGTTACTGTTCCCACCAGCAGTCATTGCTGGTGTCAATTTGGAGAGGACCTGAAATAACATGGTCCGGGAGCTGCCAGAGCACCTGAGTCCTGCCGTCGGGATGGTTGGTAGTTCCGAAGGGATTTTTCACCCTGTCAACCTGAAAAATAGCTATTAATTTGACATCCCAAATAGACACTTCAATTTTATTTATTTGTATAGATGTCTTGTCTTTGGATGTCTTTAGACTTGTTTCCGATGATGATGATGATGATTTTCATATATATTTTTTATCTTTATGTACCTAGAGGTAGAAACTACTAAATCAACAATTTCAATAAATTGAATGTCCTTAGATCGCTCTTTATTGCATATCAGTGACTATAAAAAATAACACAATAAAATCATAACTTATTTTGCTTTAACAAATAGAGAGTCGGAGTGGTTTACTTTAAGGTGATTAGGTACTGAAATAAAAATAACTTCAGAATCTTTTGGTCATATAATATTTTATTATATTAATTATTTGTTTAATTCTCATTGCCTGGCCTGTGGCAGAATCCTGGACTACTAAAACATTTTTTGAATTTAAAAAGAAAATATTCATAACTTCCCATTATTTTTCAGCAGAGAACACACAACTAACATTATCATTTAATTGATAAACGTCCTCAAGTGTATAAAGGACAAAAATATAAAACTTGGATCAAGACTCAATAGTTTATATTATTATTTATCAATAAATATACTTCTATCTAATAACTACACCGTAGTTGGCAATAATAGCCTTCTCAATCTCCTTGTGCACTTGGTTGACTTCTGCCTGAGTGAGAGTACGCTCTAGATGTCTATATACAATACTGTAACACAGACTATGCTTCTTTGATTTTGGGTGCACAAATTTGTCTTTGAGTTTCACCTGAAAAAAATAGTACCATCAATAAAATTTATATTAAACTTTGTTACAGTGCCACGCAAACTTAATGGCGGCTCGGAACATCGTGCCTTTTTTTTTTTTTTTTTTTTTTTTTTCCGTGCGGAAATCCCCTCGGATACCACCTGTCGGTGGCATGTCGGACTCGAACCGACTAAAACCGCACGCCTTCGCCGGGTACTAATAGCCGGGGAACCAGGAACATCGTGCCTGTTCGAATGCTGCCATTCGAAACGCACGCTGTTCTGAGCCGCCACATACATACACAACACAATAAATAATAGCCAGTACGTACAAACAGGATGCAAAGGAGCATGGGGGGGCAGGGCAACACAAGCCAAGCAAGCCTTTTATTGTGTGACTTACATCCGTACACTACACATGTATGCATATTCCTGTCTATGTACAGTCGAGTTGTTCCATACATAATTATTTTTTCAACTTGACTGTAGGTAGCTGCGCACAAAGGTGTGCACACTTCAATGTTCATCGGACTATACATATCTTAGTTAAAATGCTTTAACAGTAATGGTACTCTAGGCAAACCTGATTACTGATTTTTTATCATTTCAGTATATAACATTATTAATAATTCTTCATTTCTGTTACTTCCTAATCATAATAATTAACACAAGTATTATGTTCCTACAGGAGATTGATGACCACAAAATAAGCATATTCAACAAGATACTGATTGAAAACAAACCTGTTCAATAATATCACCTCCGACATCCCTGACTAGATCATAGAAGTCATTACTCATAAATGTGTCTACGGTCAAATTAGGTGGCAGCCAAAATGACATATCATTTGTACACTGTGGGAACGAAGACACTGGCTTATATCTAATTTTGGTATTAATATCCACATTCTCAAATTGCGTCAGAAATCCTGAGTCTGTGCTCCACATTAATCGGATGTCAGGAATTTTGTACAACGCCATTGCAAGTCTTTCTAAACCCAAACCAAATGCATATGCAATAGAGTTATTTGGCCCTGCGCTAGCCAGGATCTCATTTCTTACAATACCACATCCCAATACTTCAAGCCAATTATTTTCATAATAAATTTCTAACTCCCAAGATGGATGAGTGAACGGGAAATAAGCTTCAACCCATCTGAATTTGATGCCTTCACCAAATAAGGATTTGACTAAACCAATGAGATGGGTTTTTAACTGTGTTTCCATTAGTTTTGAAGCTTCTAAAGTATGACATCTTTGTTTCATAGGGTCATCAATAGAGTTGGTGAACGCTTGAGGATTGTTAGGATCAAAGTTTGGTTCAAATATATGTAGGTCTTGCTTATCACGGAATAATTCATCTTTACGCTGTGACCGTACTGCATCTACCTGTAAAAGAATATCTGATACAATTTGTTATATTACAGGAAGAAAGTAACTTCATAAAGTAAAAAAAGATCATCATATAGAGATAATCACAATTTAAACAATATTTAAAACTAAAACCAAGGGACTAAAATGACAAAATTATGACTAACTTTTCTTTTATTTAAATAACTTCATAGTGTACCAATGCTTCTGATAAAATCAGGTTATTGTATATTTTTATAAAAAACTATATAAGTATCAGTCAATCTAGCTCTTATAGTACAAGCTCTGCTTAGTTTGAAACTAGATGTTGCTGTGTGTCAGATGTCTGAAAATATTATATTATTATTATAATAGTTTTTAGATAATACAATTTATGTTGCAAGGAAAAAACCCATAAAACAAAAATACAAACATACTTGATGAAATACTGGAAAATGTGTGGCATCAATTTCATCCCTTCTATAAACATCACCAATCATTAAAAAGTTGTCTAAACCAGACTTCAAAAGTTCGCTCTGATGAGCCGTCATATGTCCACGAAGTAGAGTTCCACGGTTTATGTAATAGCAATCAGATTTTGCCCTGCTTGGATGGTCTAATGGAATTAACAGATCATCAAAATTCTGCTTCGTCGTAACTACAGGAGTTAAATTATCATACACACTGAAGGCAGGGTTACCCCTTTGAGTGAAAGATGAGTAAAAATAATTAACAATTCTCTGTCTCACTATCGATAGTGGGTGATTTTTTTGCAAGTGCAAATTTCGGCCAAGATATGATATAATTTTTGGAGTGATGTTGCTGTAGTCATCCGATTGGTATTCTTTCTCATTTACCAGAACTGTTGTAACTGGCTTCGTGGCCGTACTGTATTTAATTTTATGTTTTGATAAAACCGCTGATAGGAAGCGGTTTGTTTTGAATAATATTTTTGTCATGTTTTATAGGATATGCTTTGACAAATTATTATCTGATGAATACGTTATATTAAAAGTGTTTTAAACCGATTACAGGTGTATTCAACTTATTTCTTTATTACGATTGCCATTATTTTTCATAACCTTTTCTGACAAGATCATTTGACAATTTGACACTGATTTCACAGAGACTGATATACTAGGGCCGTGAAAGTCCTCAATAGCTTGCTTTTACGTTGATACTAACACCATCTCATAGGTGTCAAAACGCACTAGAGCTGTTTAATTCCTTTGAATCCATAGAGATGGCGCCACTACCGCAACTTTTGCAACACAATTTTTTTTCAATAAGTAAATAAATTATTTAATATATTATATATAAATATTTTAACTTATATTAGTGTATTATCTATGGATATACTATAGGTACCTACTAATAGTTGATACTACTGATAGTTAAACTTACAGTGCTGCCAACAGTCAAATTAACTGTCCACCACATTTAAAATCTGAAACACCACGTTTAACAATAGAAAGAAAACCCAGAAACGGCCCTAATTTTCCACTAAACATTTAATAAGTCATTACGAAAGAAAACACTAAGGTTTCGAATTATTCACACACACACCATACTCACACGCATCACACACAACAGACACACACATTTTTCCTTCACTTCACTTTGCTTTAGCTCTCACCTAATCCAGTTATACCTACAGGATAACACTTACGTATCTAGTGTCAGGAGAGGCTGGTTATCTGTAATACAGGTGTACCTAGTGCAGATACCAGTCTCTCACCTAAAAAAAAAAAAAAAATCCCTTGAGTATCTTTGAAGCGCACTTCCAGTATGTTTGGCAAGTTTAGAAAACGTAGGAATGCGTTTTGTTATAAATATTGAAGGTTTACTCATATCAGTTGAAACAATTATTTGAGATTTATTTATAGCAATTTATTTACCTATCCCAAAGTCAAAAAAATATGATAATTACATGAAAATAGTTGGGAAGACTCACTTTATAAACGGTACAAAGTTAGTGTTCTATCTTCTTTTAGTGTTCATCCGTGTGGTGACGGATTAAGAATACGGAGTGTCACAACCCCTATTCATCGCATAGGTGTCGTATGAGTCGACTATAGTGATGCGCAAAATGTATCACTGAGCTGTCAAGATTGATATATATCATTTCGCTCAAAAGACATATATCACTCAAATAGCTCACTAGCTCATTTAGCTCACTAACTCGTTTAGCTCACTAGCTTATTGATCCGATTCAATTGATTGGTCTCTCAATTAATTCATTTCTTCATATAGATCGTTTAGCTCAGTATACTCGTATATCATTCACTTCAAGCCTCTCGCCATACAAACCTTTCTTTATTTTCATATTAACCTAAATTCAGTTTTTGAAACTACATTTTTAATCTATTTTTTTTTAAATACAATTTTATTCATTTTTATAAGATTACATAATTATTAACACTTTTTATATAATAATTAAAAAAAAGAAATGATTTCTTGTACTTTTTTTAGGTTGTATAATAGAAAGCATACATAATTTGATTATCCTTTTACTTGGCTTAATACTTAAGTAATATTAAACTTTGATCCTACAGAATGTACATTTTGCATATAGAAACTTGCGTGAACTCAACCAACGAGTGAGACTAAAGATAAATGAGTGAGATAGATATCTCACTCATTTATCTTTAGTCTCACTCTAGTGACCTAGTACTGAGTTACTGATATAGGTATTCGGAGCAAGTGTGAGCGAGTGATACATTTTATCGTCGTGAATGATATATATCTTTTATATCGCTCACTCAGGAGCTACACAACTCTAGTCGACTAAGGGAGCAAACCACGCAGGACAACAGTACTGCGTGTGAGTTACCCCAGCAAAATAATGTCGAAAATGGTCATTTAAACTTTATAGATAATTAGTTGCTCCCCTTCTGTAATTGTTAAGCACATTTTTAAATTTGTTTCACTTAAACTTTTTTAGTTATTTCAAAAAAAACATTTCCTGCTGGAGTAACGTTTGAAACGTTACCGCAGCCAGACATTTTCTTTTTTAATTGTAATATTGAAATAAATTTTAGCTAGATAATTATTTATCTGGACTAGGTAAATGTTACAACTTATTTGGTATTTGTATTTTCTTCGGCTGCGAAGTTATTCAAAATCCTGCTGGAGTAACGTTTGTGGGTTTGCTGGATCTCTGAAACGGGTAAGCGGATTGTAACCATCTTTTGTACATAACTTCTTAAGGGTTAGTTTTAATTTGGTCGACAATAAAATAACAAAAATAATGAACCGTTTAAAAATTATTTAGGTAAGTATGAAAACACTTCAATACGTCCTAACACTTTAAATAAGACCTCTAAAGACTTACTTCAAACGTTATTCTATTGCTTGTAACTACCTTCAAATGTATACGAATTTTCGTAAGAATACTGTGACTAAAAAGTTATGATGAAATGTAGCTCTCCACGTTCACGATCACAATGTGTGCGGCCTTTTTTGGCCACCGATAAACCTGTGTGTGGATATATAAACTGAATGTTATGCCAATAATTAGTTGTTTAGTTCAGTTGTCTACCTGTAGAATTTCAGCGTCGTACATATAATAATTTACGAGATAATTAAATAAAAGTCATTAGAAGGTGCAAGTCCGTGGTAATCCGACCATGTTTAGGTGGTTACAAAAAAGCGATCACCCAGTACATTGTGCTGGCTTTTAAAATGTTTAGTGTAATACACCTTACGATTTCGGTACAGTTGCGTACAGTGTTAAATACATTCAATATTTATTCATTATTATTACCTATTATTTATTTGGTTTTTTTCCCTAATTGATCTTAAGCACTAGTTTCTTTACTTAAAATTTCTTTAGTCTTTTTTACTAACGCAGCTACAATCAACAGAAAATCTGCACTGGTCCGCTAAAATTATAAATATGTAGATACATGTATGAACGATTCACCTGACTGCAATAAATCGAAAATTTAAACCAATAAGAAATCGTTTCATTTCTTTGATTTTTTTTTGTAAAGAAATAACACTAAAGTAATTGTATTTTATTTTGGGGTGTATAGAGCTTAGTACTTGAATGCATCAAAATATTTAAAGCAACAAGTCATCTACAATAAGTTAAAATAGACCGAATAGTAGAAGAATACAGTTGTAAATTAGAATGCATCAACATTGCATCGCCCAACAGTCGTATACCTCGTAAGAGTAGGTAATATTGTTCTGTGGTCTATACCGAGAACCGAGAATTATCTATACCTATGTACCTACCTTATTATCTGCCTAAGGGTCAAGTTTAGTGCACTAGATGCAAATTGCAAACAATGAAGCATCCCTTCGCCCCTCCCCTCCCGCGTTCTAGCGAAGGATGTATTATCAGCGATTCTTGATTGGTTTAAATTTTCGATTTATTGCAGTCAGGTGAATCGTTCATACATGTATCTACATATTTATAATTTTAGCGGAGCAGTGCAGATTTTCTGTTGATTGTAGCTCCGGTAGTTAAAAAGACTAAAGAAATTTTAAGTAAAGAAACTAGTGCTTAAGATCAATTAGGAAAAAAAAACAAAATAAATAATAGGTAATAATAATGAATAAATATTGAATGTATGTAACACTGCACGCAACTGTACCGAAATCGTAAGGTGTATTACACTAAACATTTTAAAAGACAGCGCAATGTACTGGGTGATCGCTTTTTTGTAACCACCTAAACATGGTCGGATTACCACGGACTTGCACCTTCTAATGACTTTTATTTAATTATCTCGTAAATTATTATATGTACGACGCTGAAATTCTACAGGTAGACAACTGAACTAAACAACTAATTATTGGCATAACATTCAGTTTATATATCCACACACAGGTTTATCGGTGGCCAAAAAAGGCCGCACACATTGTGATCGTGAACGTGGAGAGCTACATTTCATCATAACTTTTTAGTCACTTACAGTATTCTTACGAAAATTCGTATACATTTGAAGGTAGTTAAAAGCAATAGAATAACGTTTCAAGTAAGTCTTTAGAGGTCTCATTTAAAGTGTTAGGACGTATTGAAGTGTTTTCATACTTACCTAAATAATTTTTAAACGGTCCATTATTTTTGTTATTTTATTGTCGAACAAATTAAAACTAATCCTTAAGAAGTTATGTACAAAAGATGGTTACAATCCGCTTACCCGTTTCAGAGATCCAGCAAACCCACAAACGTTACTCCAGCAGGATTTCGAATAACTTCGCAGCCGAAGAAAATACAAATACCAAATAAGTTGTAACATTTACCTAGTCCAGATAACTAATTATTTAACTAAAATTTATTTCAATATTACAATTAAAAAAGAAAATGTCTGGCTGCGGTAACGTTTCAAACGTTACTCCAGCAGGAAATGTTTTTTTGAAATAACTAAAAAAGTTTAAGTGAAACAAATTTAAAAATGTGCTTAACAATTACAGAAGGGGAGCAACTAATTATCTATAAAGTTTAAATGACCATTTTCGACATTATTTTGCTGGGGTAACGCACACCAGTACTGCATGTCTGCAGTCTTTGCAGTGCTGTTGTAGGCCAAAACCTCTTTTCTAAGCAGAGGCCTATGTCCAGCAGTGGACAGATTAAGGCTGTTGATGATGACGATGTTCTTTCTTGGTATTGTTTATAGTCAGCTTAACTTTTTTTTTTAGATAGGATTTATGCTGCCCTAAATAAATAATTAATACTGGCGACTACAGTCGTCACAAAATAAGGAGCCCGTTTTGACATTTGTCATGGTGGCGTAACTAGTGATTAACCATACGACTCGGTGCACGATACTTACGATAAATCGATTCAAGCTTGTAGAGTATTTGATTGTTTGACTATATATCACAAAGTGCATTGGATTTAAGTTATAATTAGAACATATAACTTAAACTTTAATGTTATAGGCAATTTGAAATGATACAGTGGAAAGAAATGTCAATTTGTCTTTAATTTAAAAATTTAGCTCAATCACAACAAAATCAAGAAAAGTGAAATCAATAATTTTCTTCTGATGACGAGCCAGATGAGCTATCGTCGCCTGTATATATAATTATTTCATTTTCTATAATATTATCAATATTGACGTCTCTATCATAATCTTCCTTTAAATAATAAATAATAAATATTTCGCGTCTTTTCTAGCACTTTTGCCCAATCTTCTTTAGTTATTTTATCACAAGCTTCTTTTAACAATGTCATCATATTCTTAGTGGAGAATGGTGGCTTTGTATTATGACGTGCTGCGTATCATTTGACCTGAGCCCAGATTAATTCAATAGCATAGCATAGTACTGACAATGGTACGGCGGCGTTCTTATCAATTTGTGACCATGTTGAAGTGCCAATTCATCGATTTTATATCTTAATTTTGCAGGTTTATTTTGTTTTACTAATTCCAGCAGTTCAGCTTTCAATAAATTCATGTCAGCTTCTACGCCTTTCCTTTGTAACAACGCCACTAATTCTGCTTTTTTGCTTGCGTGAGTAGGTGCCTTATCTATTTGAACTGAATGGTAAGGTGCAATATCCTTAATTATTGTGCACTGTTCGGGGAGGTCTGTTAACAACTTAGTAAACCACTCTAAGAATTTATTTGCATCCATTTCTTCGTGGTATTCTTTTGTACTTCTGGACTCGAATGCGAGTAGAGCATCATGCACAAAACCTCCCCCCGCTGATTCGGCATGGCAGATTATTAGGCGTCCACCCTTACCCATTGGCACTTTTGAACAAGATGCCTTGGTATCATCCGTCCATGACTGTGGCACGGTATGATTCGAGTTCAGCCAAGCTTCATCGATAAATATGACATTATCCCAATTAATAATTAATTTTTAATTGGGATAATATAAATAATAATTAGTAATTTTGTTCATTTGCCTCAAGAATCATACTCTGTGCAAAATTATATCATATTGTTCCATCATAATTTTCCTCTTGTCGGTTTTCTTGTATTTGAAACTAATTTGCTTCATAATTGTTATTAAAGATGTTGCACTGCCACTAAACAGGCCAGCCTCTCTTAGTGATACCACCAACTTACTTACAGTTGGGTACTCACTTCTCGTGTAATAAGCATATACGTGGTTTCGAATAGCATCTGCGTCAAATGTGTCAATACCTGTTACAGGCTTGCTTTTCTTCCTCTTCTTAGGCGTATGTAACACATTTTCTTCAGTACCGGAAGATCCATACTTTTCCTTCAAAATGGTTCGAATAGTTTTTTTGCCGATTCCAAGTGCTTCTGCTACGCGATCTTGCACTTCTTGCACTTGAGTTACGGGTAATAATGGTCCACAATTAACTGATTCGCGTTCGAAGTATTCGGTTAACTTCACAACCAATTCGCGTGATTGGATGTTGATTGTACGTCCTCTTTTCGACATGTTGAAACGGAGTTTGTACAATATAACAACAAACACCAAAATCGAGTCCAAATCGCTATGTCTAGTCAATGTCCAGAATAGAAGAGCCAAGGTCAACGTGATAGTAAACAAAAACAGTCCAAAAGCAAAGCCGAGTATAGAAAAAATATCAAACATAAACGAGCGCACAGTCAACTTCACAACATGTCGAACGAAAGACTGCGCAGTACGCGGTACGCGCATGGATCACGTGCCGCTTGGTCATAGACAAACCATTCTATAGGTACATAGAGAAAGGAAACAAATTATGTACGTCTTCGATAATTCTTTTATAGACTGACTTTTAAGGACTGTTGTTAAATGTGACTGTTGCAAAATGAGACATGACGTTTGAGACAGAAAAATGAGGTGAATTATTTTTTTCAATATCATGATGAAATGATTTGGTTAAAAAACCCGGAGTCCGGGTTTTTTAACCAAATCATTGAGTAAAATATAAAAATATTCATATTAAATATCAAAATAAAGCTAAAACTACATGTGATCAGATTTTGTTTTTATATGTTTAAATATTAAATAATACACTAATTACACATTTATCTCTTTTTTTAATGTAATTTTTGTAAACGATTTTCAGAAACTCTATTTTATTCGGCCATAAAACGGCTTTTTAACGGTTACAACACTAGGGCAACCAACCCAAAGACATGACATTGTAATAAAGTCCTGTCGGAATATTAATCAACAATTAATTCGTGTTTTTGAGTGCATTTTTTCAATATAAAGTTAAACTTGATGCCTATTTATGATACGCGTTGTGATAGTGTATGGGTAACATAGTAATTAAATAGGATTATGAATTTGTATTTCAATTTCTTACATAGACGTTCATACAAAGTTATCGCGGCATGTCAAATGAGAAACGTCAAAACGGGTTTCTTATTTTGTGACGACTTTAGTACTAGTTGTGTGACAAAATCAATAAACCCGTCAATTGGTCAATTCATAAAAAAATGACACTTTTACATAACCTCAAATAACTTATCTGTTCGTTCTTATTTTTATCTAATTCTTGAATTAAAAACGATTTTTTATATTTCCATTCTTTGTATCCATATAGTATAGGAGTAAAATACAATGTTGCGTAAGAGACTCCTGTATTTAGCGCAATTGAGCGCTGTTGGCTTTGGAGGTTATTATGTTGGCCAAAATAAAGAGAAATATTGTGATTTTTTATACGGAAACTCCGTAACAGTCGATGGAAAACGTATTCTTAATAAGCCAGGCTTGCCTGTATTTGGCACAGTCTCGGCTGCAACCCCTTTCGTAGAAACTAATGGATCTAAAGATCGGGTAAGAATAATATTCTTGTGAAGTAGACTAAGTTTTAAAATTTGCAATGGAAATGGAATACTGAAACTAATATACTGTGGGTATAATCAAGATATAAGATTTTAATAATCTTATATCTTGATTATACCCACAGTATGGTGATACTTTATTAAATTGTGATAAGAACTATTTTATAAAAAAAAATGTATTAAGTGATGTTATCTTATTACTTTTCTAATTTGTAGATATCACAAATTATGAAGTACGGCTTTCCTGGTTTGGATAATGTGCGATCATATGACGACTTTGTACTTTCTTATGACAGACGTAACAGAGTTCCACATTGGGTGTTTGAACATATAACCAAGGATCATGTAGCTAAGAATGATGCAGTGGATCGCAGTAAGTGTGAATTTCATCCTGATGAAAGCATACATCCTTTCTTTAGGTAAGACATTTCAAATACTTATATTTACATTAACTTTTCAAAAGAAAAAATATATTTATAAAGCAAAATCAAGATGATACTATGAATACTTCATGAAGATGTACACTCATCTGTCATCATCATAATCTCAGCTGAAAGATGGACACTGCTGGACACAGGCTACCTTAAGGTTTGCCACAACAACTGGTCCAATGCTGCCTGCATCCATTGGCTTCCAGTTAGCTTCACATGTTGTCAGACCACCTTGTGGGTGGATTCACCGCAAAGTGACTCCTACTCATCTTTCCCTGTGATATGAATGGTCTGGTGTGGTTAGTCGTAATAGCTGCATGGATGGCGTAGTGGTTTAAGCGGTCGCCATGCAGCTCACTACTACTACTAAAAAATTTACCCAAAAATAATCCCTGTAATTTGCGTGTGATGCAGTGCGGATTTTTTTCAAATACTTCTTAGTGACAAAGGCAAATTTTATTCCCTTAAAAAATTTTGACTCATCTGCAATTCATATGTTTTCATTGTGATATTATTATATATTTGGCGACCGGATGGCGTAATGGTTTGTGTAACGGCTGCTATTCCAAAGGTCGCGGGTTCGATTCCCGTTTAAGTCAAACATTTGTGTGCATGAACATTTAATGTTTGATTTAGTCTGGGTGTTTCTATGTACAATATGTATGTATTTACAAAAAAAAAGTATATATGTATTTATATACGTTGTCTAGTACCCATAGTACAAGCTCTGCTTAGTTTGGAACTAGATGGCGTTGTGTGAATGTGGTAGAATATTATTATTTATTTCATTCAACAAAATATCTCTGCCTGACAGCCAATTGACATTTTCACGTACATATACGTCTCATTATCATATAAATATATAATAAAATAAAAAAAAATAAAAAAATATCAACAAGTGTTGATATGTTACAGATCACAGAACACAGACTACAAGCGTTCTGGTTTTGATCGGGGTCACATGGCTGCAGCTGGTAACCATAGACTACACCAGAAACATGTAGATCAAACTTTCTTCCTCAGCAACATGGCACCACAGGTAAATAGAATATCAACATTTATTAGGTTTTAGACTGTGTAAGTGTGCCCCCCAACCTGCCTTCGACGCATAAAGGACCACTCTTCAGTCTAAATGCGGAAACCGGAGCCCATAATTAATACCAATACTAAAAAGTGTGCGAGTATCAGAGGTGCATTGATTTACCGGATGTTATGAATATGTAATTTCAGGTCTTGATATAATTTCGAATTTCGGTTTCGAATACAAAATTATTTCAGGTTATGTGTAATCGCCAAATGTGTTGCCAAGCGCAAAAATCGAAAACGGCTTGACCAATACAACTATTTTTATTTCATATTTTCGTTATGGCACAAGGGAGGTTCTTAAGGGAAATAAAAAGTAAAAAAAATGCGACGAAAATACTAAAAACATCACATACAAACCACAAAGTAAATTAAAACACCTGTCCCTCAAACCTGTCAAGCAAACCAAAAAAAGACGCGTCAGGATGCACGGGCCAATAACTTTTTATAGAACGAAGTCATTTCGACGACGAGAACGATGTCATTTCTCACTACCATAATATGGGGGCTATGGGTGCCATAGTATGGTATCGTGGGAGAGCAAGTGATCTCTCCTTCATAGTCACGGTCTTACAGAAAACCGGTGTTAGGTAAGCAGTTCTTTCATTGCCCAAACCCTTCCCTTTCCCCCGTTTCTGAAGGAAAGGATTGAAAGAGCGGCAACGCATTGATGACTCTCGTGTTGCAGGTGTCAGGTGATCCATCTTTCGACTTACGATTACCATAAAAAAATGGGTGTTACCGTTCTATGTGTAAAGTGGTTGTTGAAAAATAAACTTTATAACTATACGAACCTTGCAGGTGGGTGAAGGTTTCAATAGATCAGCATGGAACAGGTTAGAGAAACATGTACGGAAACTTACCAAGGTGTATGACAACGTATACTGCTGTACTGGACCACTTTATTTACCCAGGTTAGTTGCGATATTTTGCTTGATACCAATGCCAATAATAGTTATTCCTTTTCTTACTGGTGGTACCAGGATAATCCTTTGTACTATGTGTAACTTAATAATAGGGGTTAAAGTATGAAATTGCCGATTGAAACTCGTTTAATATTAAAAGAACAATGGCAGAAACATATTTACCTAAAACTTAAGCGTTTAAAAAAACCGAGTCACAGTAAACTTAATCAATATTTTTTCTATGATTTATCATTACACTACCATGTGTTGTATAAGTCTTATAAGATATACGATATTTTTGAAGATTTTATTTGACCTAAGTACGTAATGTCAGATTCGCCATCACGTATAACTGACTAGGAATGCGTGGTGGCAATATTTTATTATGGAACGTATTATCGATAATCGATTCTTATAGCTTTGGCTGAAATATCTACCGAAGGTTCACCTATTATGATTATGATTTGCTTCTGCCCACGGCTTCACTTGTACGGTAGAGTGACTAAATCAACATAATTATAAATAATTTAGAATATTTTTGACTCTCTTTAAACGATTTTAAACACACTAAAGAAATAGAATATAGTTACGTTATTTTAAAAATATACACTACACAGTGTGATGAGAAAAATACATTGTCTTTGATAACGGCACATAAATAGACATACATCGAAATTTTCAAAATGTTGATACGTCGTCGTTTAGATCCTGTCAAGTTCCGGACTCACCACGTTTGTTATTTAATTTTTTTTTGTTCAATTTAGTGTTAAACTCGCATAGATGTTATGCTTTTCTATTTTTTATTTCATATAGTGTTACACTGTTTTGCATGATGTGACGCCTTTAAATGTTGTGCATTAATTTTAATATAGTGGATGAAGGCTCGTTACTCTACGGGGGAGCGGTCAGAGCGGCAACGCACTTGTGTCTCGTTGTAAGTGTCCACGGGTGGCGTTAGTCATTTGCTATCAGGTGACCCGTCTACACAAATACCATAAAAAAGAGCCTCTAAGAGAGCAAACTACGCAGAACAACAGCACTGCAAAGACAAGGAAAACTTGAGACAAACCCTATACCAACCTGTCTGACCAGCCTCTTTAGGTATAATAGGCCAAAACCTCCTATTTCCAGCAGTCGACTACTAAAGGCTAGTGATAATGATAATGATGTTAACCATAAAAAAAACTCTACTTCTTTTGAATGTGCCTGGTTATCATTCAATTTTGTTATTTAGCAAACTGGCGGTAGTTACGAGATAACTTCATCAAACCTTTTCAATGATTCATGGTGACCAGTTGATTACCAATGATGTAATATACCTCTTCTTGATTTTCAGGCGTGAATCGGACGGCAAGTCGTACGTTCGGTACCAGGTGATTGGAGCGAACTGCGTAGCAGTACCGACGCATTTCTACAAGATAGTAGTGGGGGAAACCAGCGATGGGACCCTCGATATGGAGTCCTACGTCATGCCCAATCAGAAGATACCTGATGAAACGCCCGTCTCTAGTTTTATGGTAAGATCTTAGTTCTTATTACACACAGAGCAACCAATTACGTTTGGCCTAAGTGTGTTTGGTCCTTATTTCACATCACACATCAACGACCTTTAATAGTCCACAGCTGGACATAGGCCTCTCTTTAGAAAAGAGGTTTTGGCCTACTATACCGCGCTGACCAGACGGGTTGGTATAGGGTTTGTTTCAAGATTTCCTTCTCTTTGCAGTGCTGTTGTCCTGCGTAGTTAGTTCCCTTCATCGGTTCTTACGACACTCACTTATATATATATATACATCTATATCTAGATAAATTTTCAAATATCAGGTTAGCAATATAACAAACTATTTCTTGGCCTGGAATTTAAACCTTACAGGCAAGTGCAACTGCTACATTTTCACTGCTGTTTTAACCTGAGGGATAAGTGTGACTCGATCGTTACGGCGAACACGTTTGGCGCCGCGATTGGTAAAGATTTCAGTTTAGGCCAATCGCAACGCCGCGCCGGACGCGAAAATAAACTCACCCTAAGCCCTCTGAACATTATCTGTAAAAGTATATTTGGTTTCGCAAGTTATGTCTATACCTATACTATACCTGTACTATTTTATCAATGGCCAGGCAATGTATTCTATTGTCTTGCTAACGTCCTTGGAGTCAGTAGCAGATTATTATTGGAAGGATAAAACGAATTCAAAGTTGCTATGATGGCGTTTATGGCGTGGTCTAGTTATGACGGATGTCACTTTGTGTATAGAAAAGACAAGTTAATTAATCAAATATTTTAATTTCAGGTACCACCAGAGACGGTGGAGAAGGCGGCTGGTCTACTGTTTTTCGACAAAATACACAGGAGTAAATTAAACAGAATAAATGGGAAAAAGGTCTAAATAAAATTGGTGATATCATGTATTATCTAACTAGACAAGCTTTGATAATAAAGTTTGTCTTCAAGTCATATTGTAATAAAATTTGTATATAAATAAGTTATTTGTAAATAGAATTTTATTCATTGTTTTATTTTTGTTCTTTGTAAATTTATGTTAATCGAGACGTCAAATGAGAGCCTGCCAAAATTGAAGTAACAACAAAGTACTGTAAGGGAAGGACAGCAAAGTGCCGTGAAATATTTCTAGTTAGAAAATGTCAAGTCCTTTTTTCTCAAGGCTTTTTAGATATTTTGGTTAAGTAGACCTGATATGCGTATTTCGCCTAGTAATATTATAACGTTTTGTAAATTTTTGATAGCTATAAAGCAAATTTGACCGACCGAGTTGTCCGCCACCAAAACAGAGCGTTACAGTTGAAAGTATAGGGTTCAATGCACAAATAACGACTTACTAAATAGGCTACCTAACACGAATTTTTCAATTCGAACTAGTAGTTCCTGAGATTAGTGCGTTTAACCAAACTACTCTACACTAAACTCTTCAGATTTACTTGTAATATTCGTATAGATTAAATATTTAACTCACTTCACTGGTGGCTTTGTTCGTGTTAGTTTTTTCCATCCATCTTGGTTTCTTTTTTTGAAAGAAAGGTACTCTGCCTTTCCCCGCTTCCCTGACCTTCCTAAAAGTTTCGTGACAGTCAGTTCAGTACTTAGGCGTGACGTAGGAAACAAATTCAGTATCGGATCTATGACATTAGATACGATGTTAGCATCTAACGCGAGTCGGAGAATGATAAGGAAAATAAACCCTATTATAGGTAGAATTATGGCTCGAGCAAGCCTATTTATATAACATAACGCTACGACCAATAGCAGCGGAGCGTCAATAAGAATTGTTGTAAAAACTGGACAAATTTATTTCTTTTGAAAGATGCAGAGGAAGTAACGCGGGTTGGTTGCATGGTAAATCAAATAGCATACGTGTATAAAACAGACGTATATTTAGATAGTTACGTGAGCTATCAGAATTATTATATATATATAATGTTACAGTAAGTGTTTTTACTTCAATCTTCGTCTTCGTCCGATGCGCCATTTTGTTGCGGTTCGTCGTCCACGCGCACATCGCCCATACCTGAGATGACAGAGTTTGTTAATTAATTATTATTAATACTCCAATTTGGAAACGGAACTTATATTTCACAACAAAATAAATTTAATAAAAGTAGAAGTAAAGGTACAGAAAAGAAAAAAGATTCCTAATTACCCTTCGATCAATAATAGTACTAGATTCCCGATAAGCGCTTCAAAAAACGGCCCGAAAAATAAGAGCACAAAAGTTTATATCTAATTAGTATGGTCCAACCATAGCCAATAATAGGACGTCAAAATGCCGCAGTGCGCGTTCAAAAACTGTGTAAATAACCACCGTAACACCACGGTTTTGGAAGGAATATCTTTTTTTCGGTAAGTTAATTTCAATAAGTGTTATGTATGTAGTGTCATAATATAATAAGTATAAACAGAATTAAACTGAAAATATAATTCAATTAGCGAATGTTATAATTGTTAGGCCAATGTTTGCTACAACGCATCAATTAATGTATCAAACATCAACTGTTCTTGAACAGGGAATGCATGGAGTAGTGTGGTTATTTTGTAATGTTATTTTTGTTTGTAGATTTCCTAGTGACTTATAGACTTTTAAGCTATAGACTTTTGTAATAAAACCTTAAATATTCCCGCATTTAGAGAATCAGAATGCACAGTAGAATTTATTCAGATACTAAATGATCTTTTTGATATCCTAAATACTAGAAATCTTAAGGACTTTAAATTCAAACACCCTTTGAATAAGGGTAGTTCACAAAAAATATTGTCGTTCTTGTCCTAAATTAAAGACAACTTATTGTCATTATCAATTAATGTTACAAATAAAAGAGCTCTTAAAGTCGGTACCGATATAAGAACTGTGTTTTCAACCAAAAAAGTGTCCCTTATCAAAACGCAGAATAATACTGGATTATTAGGACTATTAGTGTGCATAAACAGTCTGACTCATTTGTATAAAAGTTTAGTTGCAACTGGCATTCTTTCTTTTTTATTAACGTATAAACTCCGCCAAGACCATGTCGAGCTATTTTTTGGGAACATACGGAGTCAAAATGGACAATACAATAATCCCAACACTCGTCAATTTAAAGCCAGTTTTAAAAAAACTGCTGTCTCATTTACAACTGGGCTCTAAATTTACTGGAAATTGTATGTCCATAGAGAACATACCTATTTTATCCGGATCATCATCCCTCAACAAAATTAATAACTTATCAATAGGTTACCGTTTTGAAGAAACCGAGGAGAAAAATTTAAGTTCTGCAGAAATTTAAAAAAATAGATCAATAGAACAGAGTTTTGATAAATATCAGACAAATTGAACTGAAACTGATCGAAAAACTTGATTATAATCCAACTTCAGATAATGTTCCGCAAATAGTAGGTTACATTTCTGGTTTTGTAGTCAGTAGCCTTATTAAGAAAATTAATTGTGAGGACTGTAAAATAGATTTATGGGCTAAAGAAAAATTATGGTTCCACAAATTAATTGATATAAGAGACATGGGTGGTTTATGTTATGCTTCAAACGGCGTTTTTGAGATATGCATGAAAACCGAACGTGTTATACGCAACTGTCTTCGCATGAGTGGTGGTAAATCAATGCAAAAAAAGTACGATAAAAACTTTATATGTGTAAATGTTTTAAACGCGTATATTGAAAAGGATGTGTTTTCTGAGGGAAACGAACACAGCCATAAAATATATTTAATTAAATTAGTTATAGAAAAATTCATTGATGTAAGATTACATTATATTTGTAAAAAAGAAACCGCTCAAATAAAAAATACTTCCAAAAGACAGCTTTATAACAAGCTGAATTTGTTTAAATGTAATTAAATTAATTATTTTGAATTCTGCTTATTACTGTGTATTGTTTTGTGCCCTTATTGTTTGAATTTTCACATTGATACTTTTATTATTTTTATATTTTATTTTGATTACTTTTAAATGTTGGATTCTTCTTCTTACTTTATCAAACCTGTTGTTCCCACCTATATTATAAGCGAATGATGTGGTCGCCTATTATTATTATATAGTATTGTCAGTGTTCAAATTAACATGCACGTATTTGTGTGGCCTCTGTTGGCGATCCAATAAATAAATAAATACATGAAACATTACTAAATACTTTAAATACTTTGTATAAAGAATACGCCGAAAACACGTTTCTTGATTCACTTTTTTTTTCCTTTTTTTATTACCTTGTAATATTAAAATTGAATTGGTCGAAATATTTGCCATCATACAAAAAAAAATATTCTGCAACTCTACGTCTTTCAATACTAACTGTGTTCTCAGCATTGAAATGTAATACCAAGAACTGCGTCTAGTTCCACTATAGAATAAGCACGAAATTGTGCACATTATGTTTTTAACCTTATAGCATAGAGTTTAAGTTTCTTTTTAGAATAAATATTTTTGTACGGATGACCTTTTATTTTCAAGCGACATTTTAAATTTAATGCTTCTAACCTTTCTCCGATGAAAGGACTTAAATAAATATATTTCCCAATGGTTAATCAATGTTTAAGCATTAAGGTTTATTATGATCTGAAGTTGTTAATAATATTATACTTTTTTCTAAGAAATGTAGATGTTTACCTGTGTGTAAACGTGGCCACCTGAGCGACTTATTTTTGTTCCTGATACTGAATCTAGTACTATTATTGACCGAAGTAATTACCACAAATACTGAAGAGTACTTAAAATATTTAAATAAAATCGGTCGTAACCGATCAGAGCGGGTAAAACGTCCTGGTATAACCATTTCAAAATTTTGAACATTTTATTAACACCAATATGGATCAATGAACAATTCCCTCTTACGAAATTTAAACAAAGCATCACATAGTTTGCGGTTGAACAAAACCCTTGATGGTCTAAGAAGAGATGATCATTTTATTTTATTTGGGGAGCTTACAGCTACAGTTTAACAAGCTTCCACAGATACACAAGAAACATTCTACTTAAGTTACATTCTAATTAAATTACTAAAGATGTAAATAGATGAAAACAAATTGAAACACATGCAAAACCAAGAGTCACAGCTCACACTGCAGTAGTGCAGGCAACACTATCAGCGAATCTGACGGTTAAATAGGATCTAGCACTACCAGTACTTGTACTAAAAAGATCAAAACCACTGTCACTATTTATCTTGTTTAACTCGGTGAAAACTCATAAGTAATAGTGGTAAGTCATAAGTCATTAATACTGGGTACTTAAAAATGATGTTTAAAACAAAACTATACAAATGAGGTTTTCACTTTACTTAGGGGTCTAATCTAGAGTGTTCCTTGTTTTATGTGATACGTAATTATAACCAAAATAGATGGTCTGTTGAAAGAGAACATTGAATTTGGAAAAATATTGGAATACCTACTTACTTATTCTATTTCATACAATAGAAGTCAACTCCTACGCAATAATAATTACTGCGTAGATAGAAAATTACACAATCCTATCAAACGATATCACATTTTCGGATGATCTCTATATACGTTATGTGGTGTAAGTTAAGTAGTACATACCCTGGTCTTCGTCCTCCTCGGCGGAGTCGCCAGCGACTTCCGCGTTCTCGGCCTCCGCGCGCTCCATCTGCCGCGCCAGCTCCGCCTCGTCCGTCGCCGTCACTACCTTCGGCTAGAATAAACAACCGCGACGGCATTACTTACATGTCCCTCGTTGAATTGAGTATATTTAATTGGTAGATGTACATTTATAGTGAAACAGTACAAGTGGTAATTAAATTTAAAATATTATAAAAGCTTGACATATCTCACACACGGCTGATCCCAAACGAAACAAAACCTGTACTATGGCAACTAGACTTTATAAACATACTAATATATTTAAATTTCTAAATTTTGTGATGCATGTTATGGATAAATTACAGCTGGACACAGAACTAATAATCGTGTGCTTATCACATTATTATTTGACCAACCATTTGGTGGGAATCGAAACACAACCTTTCGCTTAACAGTCAGGACCAGTAACTAACCATTAGACCAACAGGCCAGATGATATTTTTTTCAAGTGTATTTTTTTCTTTCTTTTTTTAAGACAACCTCCGCAGGAATATATCCTGTATAGCGGTGGACTTTATAAACATACAAATGGACACAAAGAACACCCAGACTCAGAACCACAATTCACTCAGAACTCAGATTACACAGTGTCCTCCCATGTGGGGATCGGACCCCAAAACACAGCGTAGTAGTGAGCGGCGTGGCGACCGCATAAACCTCTACGCCATCCGTGTAGGCAAGTGACAAAGAGTTAATCATTAGGTTAAAATAACTTCACTCAATAAATAGTATTAAACAAATCCGTACTACTTTTGCTTCCAATAAACGCAGCACCAAACTGGTCGTCAGGAGGCAGTCTGAGATCCCGAAAAGGATCAAGGCTGGACTCCTGGTACCACAAATCGGACCAGATGATACACTGGTCCGTATACAAACCAGGCTAAAGTACCAGAATAGCCAGTACAATGTGGCCAACTGGGCCCTCTACCATGCCGAGGCGCAGGAGGAAAAGAAATGTCTCTTCCTAGTGCTCGGCATCCCAGAAGCGGACGTCGTGAAGCTCAAGGCTAGCGAGCGTAGAGTATACTACAAACTAGGTAACCTCTACGTTCGCTTCCTTGATGAACGTCCCGCCCCACCAACTAACCCAGACGAGGAGCCAGAATCGGCCCCACAACACCCTAAGGACGGCAATGGAGGGGATCCTCTGATACCCGTTGAGGAGACAGCCTGCCGGGGTCCACCTCCTGAGGAGTTGGAGGACCTACCGGTGGGCGAGAGTGACCTCGACGACATAGAGGATATGCTGAACAGCGATGATGGCGCTGTCTGCACCCCCCCATAACACCCTTACAGCCATCCAAACCAACCTCCAGCACAGCCATACAGCAACGGCTAACCTACGCAGAGAGCTGGAGGTAAAAACCAACACCGTAGCCCTAATCCAGGAGCCGTGGATTAGGAAGGGCAGGATCTGCGGTCTAAACAATATTGGAGGTAAGATACTTCTCAACACTACCATTGATAACCCGCGCACTTGTATTTATACACCAAAACATGCGTGTACTACCTTAATGACCGAGTTCTGTTCCAGAGACCTTACCTCTATTAGGTTAAAGGAACCCTCATCAAACCTGCCTGACGTGGTGATAGCATCAGCCTACTTGCCGGGCGATGCTGACATCCCCACTCCGGAGCTGGCTGCGCTGGCACACCACTGCGAGCGCGAGGGTCTGGAGCTGATCATCTCTGCCGACACCAACGCGCACCATGCGCTGTGGGGCAGCAGGAGCAACAACCAGAGAGGTGAGGAATTTGTATCGTTCCTATTATCAACTAACCTTAACATTATCAACGTGGGCTCGGAGCCGACATTTGTCACATCCAGGGCCCAAACTATAATTGATCTTACATTAGCAAGTGAGCACGCATCGCAACACATATCGAATTGGCATGTTTCGAACGAAGCATCGTGCTCAGACCATCGCTGGATCAAATTTAACTTTGAAATGAAACTTAAACTACCAGATCCCCGACGGAATCCCCGCACGATGGACCGGAAACGGTATGAACATCTTACTGCGGAGAATCTGCGAAGCATCAACCCAACATACGCTACGGGGACTGTTAAGGACATTGACAGTCATGTCGTCAACCTTACACAGACACTGATCGATTGCTTTGAACAAACATGCCCACTTTCCACACCCAGAACTGGACCACAGAACAAACACCAATGGTGGGGTCCGGAACTGGAAAGACTACGTCGTAGAGTGAGAAAGTTGTTCAATAAAGCAAAAAACTCGCGATTAGACCAACATTGGGATGCCTACACGCAGGCCCGACAACAATATAAGAAGAGAATCAGAACCAGGAAAACTGAGTGCTGGAGAAACTTCTGTACTAACATAGAGAACAACAACCAGGCTAATAGAGTCAAAAGCATACTGTGTAGTAGAGGCGAACACAAACTTGGCTCCCTGAAGAAGCCTGATGGTGAGTATACCAAAACAGACTCGGAAGCCTCAGAGCTGCTATTAAAAACACACTTCCCTGGATGTCGCATATCAGATGCGATGGAAAAATGGGAAGACAGATGGGAAAAACCACCAGATGATACAGACTGGGATACGGCCCGCAAAGTTGTCAACCACGACAAACTAAGATGGGCAATTGACAGCTTCCTACCATTCAAGGCGCCAGGACTAGATGGTGTCTTCCCAGGCCTACTGAGATGGTGTGATATGACACTACTGGACCATCTTGTAAAAATCTATAGGGGCTGCCTGGCGCATCAGTACATCCCCTTGAAATGGAGAGAAGTTAAAGTAGTCTTCATCCCCAAACCTGGTAAAGGCGACTACACACAACCCAAATCACACCGACCTATAAGTCTCACATCTTTCCTACTAAAGGTTCTCGAGAGGCTAATAGATAGGGAAATCAGGGAAACTGCGTTAGTCAGTCACCCTCTACACCTCAATCAACACGCATACTCGATGGGTAAATCAACAGAATCTGCCCTACATCGAGTTGTTTCATATATAGAAGACAATCTAAATCACAAAAGGTCAACACTGGCCACCTTTATCGATATCGAGGGAGCCTTTGACAAGACCAACTTCACCAGCATTAGCCAAGCTCTGTCTAGGCATGGTGTTGATTCCACAATCTCAGGGTGGATCGACAGCATGCTAAGATATAGAGCTATACAATTCACTGTGAGCGAAGTGACTAGAGGAGTGGTGGCTAGAGGCTGCCCCCAGGGCGGTGTACTCTCCCCCCTTCTATGGAACATTGTTGTGGATGAGCTCATCACACAACTTAATGACCAAAGATTCCTCACAATAGGCTATGCAGACGATCTTACTATTCTCATCAGCGGTCCTTTTGAGAGCATTACATGCGATCAAATGAGACTTGCACTGAAGATCGTGGAACAATGGTGCGTAGCACACAACCTGACAGTGAACCCATCCAAAACAGAGATGATCATGTTCACAAACAAACGCAGCCTAGGAAATCTCAGACTTCCCAAGCTATTTGGAACACAACTTACTCTTACCAAAGAGGTCAAATACCTAGGAGTAATACTGGACAGTAAACTCCTGTGGAACAAGCACCTCGATGAAAAACTGAATAAAGCCTGCATTATTTTCTGCCAATGCAAGCGGCTACTCGGCAAAAGCTGGGGACTATCACCCAAAATTACTTTATGGCTATATAGAACAGTCATAAGACCAATAATCACTTACGGTGCTGTTGTCTGGTGGCAGAGAACAGAGCTAAGCACTGTCATAAACAAACTACAGCAATTCCAGCGACTCCCATGCTCCGCGGTCACTGGCTGTATGCGCACAACGCCTACTGCCGCACTGGAGGTGGCTCTTGGTCTGCCACCCCTGGATCTATTCATACAGCTGGAGGCCGCCATGGCGATCATTAGACTCAAACACCTGGGTCTATGGCACAAACGTGGGGGATCGCACTCTAAATTATGGGATCAATTGGTGGAATACGAACCACTGATAGCAGCGCCATGCGATAGAATCCCAAAACACCATATCTTCACAAGAAGATACTACATCCAGATACATGGAAATGACCGAGATCAATCCGGCATTAGCGAAGTCCGAATTTACACGGACGGTTCCAAGACTAGGTCAGGAACTGGAGCCGGAGTTTTCTCGCAAGACCTAAACATAAACATATCACTAGCGTTAGGCCAACACAGTTCCATATTTCAATGTGAATGTGTTGCAATAACTTACGCTGCCGCAACGGCCATGTCAAGGGGTATTAAGGACTACAATATCCGAATAATATCCGACAGCATGGCCGTCTTAAAGGCATTGGAGGGCAACACAATGACCTCTGGTATTGTCTTCGAATGCCACCAAGCACTGGAACAGCTCGCTATATTCAATGGGGTAATCCTCCAATGGATTAAAGGGCACAGTAACTCACACGGGAACGATGCCGCAGATGAGTTGGCAAGGAGGGGCTCGGCAACCCCAACCTCTGGCCCAACCCCACTCCTGCCCATATCGTTTAACCAAATACGATGCTGGGTCAGGCAACGGACCTGTGAAGCACACAACCGGAGGTGGAAAAACTCACCCGGCTGCAGACAGTCCAAACTGGTGCTGAATCAAGTCACACCACGACTCACCTGCAGACTGATCAGTCTTAGCAGACCGGAAATCAGAACGGTTGTCGGAACTATTACAGGACATCTAGCCCTGAACCGACAACTATTCATAATCAATGCGACGGACAGTCCCCTGTGCAGGGGATGTCTGGAAGCTGAAGAAACGGCCGTCCACGTAGTTCTGGAATGCGAGGGAGTGGCCACACAACGGGCAAGTATCATTCCTGATACAAAGTCGCTCCTAGAAGCCTGTGAACGCCCCAGGAGGCTTCTGCGCTTCTGGAAGGAGCTTGGCTGGCTCACCTAGTCAACCAATCCTCGACGCATAAAGGACCACTCTGAGTCTAAATGCGGAAACCGAAGCCCACAACCAATACCAATACCAATACAAACGCAGTACTAAGTATGTTAATGTAAACGGCGATGGCGTATTAGATAAGGCATCGACTTGAAACCAAGTTGTTGTGGATTCGAACCCCACAACTACGAACGTGAAACTATTCCCAACTCAAGTATTAAACTCACTGTTCACTAGAATATCCGTAATATGTAACCCAAGTTATCAAAATTCTTAAACAACATTTACTTACCGCCATTTGAACGTTGAAAACACCCCCAGAGACCGTAATGGTTTCTTTAATCTTATCAATAGCGTCCTGCAGGGCTTTGAGCCCATCAGTCTTTTCAGGAGTTGATGTGGTCATAACTAAAAATAAAAGTTTACGGTTAATATGTAACTGTAATTTGATAAACTGATCCATGATCAGCTGGGGTTATAATAAAAAAGGAAGAACTGCCATTAAACAAGTTATACGCCGTAAAGCAGTTTTTTTTTAAATTTAAAGGCAGAGGACTCTCTTTTTATAGGTTGGTCGTGTAAAAAAATATTTGTAATACGTTAACAGGTGAGCGAGGTGAGGTCTGCAGTGGTGGGCAAAAGCTTGCAAGCAGTAAGAAGAAGTTTACGGTCGGTAAGAAAAAGTTTGCGGGCGGTGAAAAGCAGTCTGCGTGCAATGAGAAAAGGTTGCAAGATGCTGTTTCAGCCCATGGAGTCTTACTGCGTTCAACTAGCATGACTATTGTATATATCATGTTGGTACCTACATAAATAAAAATTATAAAATTTCACTCTACTTAAGTCTTGATATTACATTTACCTCTACAGTTCTATCTTACCATACAAAGGTGGTGCAATAAGATTAATCTTGATGGGCATCTCAACTGTTGAAAGGGCAAGGCCAGCCTTCAATGCTGCTCTCACTGCGTCAATACCCTCATAGCCATAACAAGCACACTCAATATCTGCTCTAATCTTGACTGCCTGAGATGTCAATTTCCTCTTGATGTTAGCGAGTAGAACCTCTTTTGTATTCTCATCCAGACCACACTCATTCAATACGGAAGGATCTCTAATGAGAAAGGACATAAGAAAATATGTCAGTTATCAATATTTAAAAAAAAAATGTACTGGCAGGAATCATAGCATTTCTGCCATGCACTATGCAATATTATGCAATCAAAGTGTGTAAATTATTTTCATATTCTGTATATACTCTACATTACATATAAGCAGGGACATGAAAAAATTTAAAAGTTATAAAACACATGTGGATACCTGAAAAAAGATCTGTATTCATATCCATTGCATTTTGACAGATTTTAAGTAGGTGCCTAACAATTCAATTGTTAATTTACTTTGCTAAAATTAAATTATGTTTTTAGTTACAAATATGAATAGTTGTAAAATAATATTTGACTATCTTTATAAAAGATCATACACATGAAATGTGTATTAAAATACTTATTTAAAACATAAAATGTCATACTATTTAATTCTGACTATCAACTTATTTATTAATGACATTCCAATAAAAATACAAACTGATTTAACGGATAAGAACTATAAATATAAATTTAAAAATACTTCATTTCTATGCTGTAATAACATAACATACCAAACCGTGATAGTAGATGAATTGAACAAAGTGCAACATCCTGTTCATTGTGCAACACTCCTTCTACATAACTACACCACATAGCGCAACACAGATCGCAGCGGCCGGCTCGAGAACCGGTTTCTTAGCGATAAGGAGTATTAGCCTATTGTTGGTTCTATGCTATAAACATTGTTTCTGGTTTTAAGTTATTTCTAAGTGAAATGATGTTAACAGATTGCTCAAGGGTGATTCAACGTCCAACAAAACCTGTTAAGGTTTTGTGACGTTTTACAGCTAACACCGTAATGTATTTTTTTTTGTCAATAAATGTAAAAAAAACTGTCTTTTGTCTGTAAATTGGCAGTTTCTGACTTACTGGCCATACTTTTATTTGCGTCACTGCTCTGTTCTTAAAAGTGATAGTACCAATTTACAGATATATATGCTTCCTCAGTGAAAACATATCTAAACTAAAATTATTCAAATCTAACAGAAACTAAATCAGTTTCAAAGATTAATGAAATAAACTGATAACTGCTTAGATTTTTTATATTATAATATATATTATGGAGTTTTTATTTGTTAGATATATTGTATAGACAATAAAAAGGATCAATTTTCAGAATTTCTGTATTTAAAAAATAAAACTAAAAAAGAGAACAAAAGGGTATACAGAGAAGATACTTACACAGCAGCCTGTTTGAAAAAGTCATAAGCAGATGCTTTTTTCTTGTATTTCTCCTCAAAGTGCCAAGCAGTCCTTTTGTACAGCTCCTCCAGTTGTTCTGAGGATTCATAGTGCAGGAGCTCGGCCACATGACGCAGAATTGAGTTTACTGCTTTGGCTTTAGCATACCTTTCTGTGCATTTATCTATGTCTTCTGCCGATACACGACGTTTTGACAAGTCAATGTAACCTTAGAGATATAAATGAAAATAAATGTAATTCTGTTATTATGTGGTTTATAGAGATTTGTTAATAATGTTATAATTAAATATGGACATTCAGTAATCAGTCAGCAAAGATACTGACTGAAAATTTGATTAACTACATACACACAATACTTCATATTTTAAATTATTTATAGGACTATTTATCCTTACTTCCTTGTTTGTTCTGCTTTCAAGCCTAAACATATAAACCCATTTAAAAAAATCTTTTACCAATGGAAAACTACATAATCAGCTAGTAACATAGGTTACTTTATACTGTGATAACTGACAAATGCATAGGCATTTTTGTTACGGACAAAGCTATTCATTACCGCTTCACTTAAATATGGATAAATAACTGATTTCTTGAGTACAAAACTATGGAAATTTTGGCACATAAACTATACTAATATTAAATATGTGAAAGTAACTATCTTTCTTTCTTCTTTTGATTATTTTTAAGCCACAGTAAGCTAATTTTATTGAATTAAATAGACAGTCTATTAAAAGGATTGAAATTTCCAAAACATAGGACATTGGCTATTTTTAAAACATAACTTTTAACAATTCAGAGGTATGGGAATAGGGAATGAAATTTTAAGTGGGTGAATAATCATTACCCAACTTTGTACTTCTGTTTCTCTTCTACTTCTAGTTGTTCATCTGTTTGCCTTTCTCATGTCTGTCTGTCTTATTCTTAAGGATATTGCTGGCACAATTTAGTAACTTTTAACTTAAAAGGGTAATTTTAATTCTTCATTATGAATATTGGGTTTTGTTAACATCTTAAGTCAAATTAGTTGTCTCTGTTGAGAAGAACAGTCCTTACTAATATAAATATGATAGGTCTCTTTGTTACACACCACACCTTTTGTACTCAGCTATTAATCATGATATTATGCATACTCATTGTTAGGAGCACAGTAATATGTCCCATATTGTACTTTCATGAAAGAATTTAGTACTGTTCTAGTGGGATATAAAAACTTTCGGTGGCGAAGCAAAAGCCAGTTAAGCCAGTTGATATTATGTATAATACCTTTCTCTTTGTCCACTCTGATAACGACAACGGGCTCAGTTTTGCCGACACGAATCAATTTGTTGATAGACCGAATACGTCTTCTGGACAACTCCGAGAGCAAGATCATACCCTCAATGTTGTTGTATTCTAGTAAATGGACATACGCTCCCATCTCTGCGATAGACCTTACATTTACCATCACTACATCTTCCACTTCAGGATATTTTTCTTGATAAAATCGACACGAAAGAGGCATCTGAAAAATTATTAGATTCATAACCTAACTCCTAGTGTAAATTAAGCGTTTTGACTGAAAGAGTATTCATAATGCTTAATTTCGTTACCTTATTTGTGTTTTCCTAGTTTCCGTTTTACTTATTGAATGAAATAAATAAATTAATGACGAAATCTCAATAATGTTCACGTTGACGACAGAAGACAGCTTACTACAACTACGTTCCGTTCTGCTAACCTGCAAAATAAAAAATAACTAAGTGGACAAAGCATATTTTAAGAAAAAGAATTTGGAGATTATTTGAATGTATCTATTAATGCTGCAATTTAATAACCTAAATTTTAAGCTACAAACAAAAACAGGTCCCCAGTGTAAAAAATTTTTTTTCAAACAAATTTTATTTTTCTCAACTACAAGTAATTTCTTTTTATTACCATTAGATGCTTTATTACGGAGTAATGGAATAAAACTCAGTGTTGCCAATGGATTTTTTTAATTCTGTCGTTGTAGCCACGACCCACTACGACCTGTGATGTGTGTCAAATAAATAGTGCAGTCAAATGTCACGCTGGCGGTTGCGGATTGATTCAATTTCTAAATAGTGCAGATATGTATTTATACGAATGAAGATGCAAATTTTCTATAGTATGGGTGTTTCGCCTAGTTTTCATCGGTGATTTTGGAATTAACAGTACAAATTTTGCTTAGTTTATATCCTAGTAGTCTAAGATCCGGCTGCAGAATCACTGCACTCATCGAGTATGTGCTAAAAACCCACTTTTACGCATATTTATGATTATGAGATTATATATCTACCAGGTTGCCTATCAAAATGTGGCCGCTAGTATTTTTCATTTAATTTTTTTAAATTGATTTTTGGGAAATCAATTGACTTGCCACACTATTTCACAGGACAGGAAGCCATTTCTATTATATTTTGAAATAAAACTATTTTAAATTGTCAATAATTCGGACGTGCGTACGGATCACGAACTTGGTCGTTACTAAAGTCGTTATTCTTAGCGTTACGTCGTATGCTAGCCACAACAAGTAGGTGTTGCGTGCCTTTGTGGTCCTGTATGCGGAATCTATTAGAGGGTAATCTGTGAGTTGAGAACACTAGCATTCGACTTACGCGCGATGGCTTTAAAGCGTCGTACAGCTGGCAATCGCTAACCTCGTCTGACTAGTAATATTACGCGCTAACTCTCTTTCATTCTATCTTAAATATTTACCATCTTTATCAGCCAACAACCCTTATTTGCGGCCAGATTTAATTAGGCAACCGTATGTCATAAAAAACAGAAAAAAATTGCTTTAATTTGATGTATAAATAATAAACGAACGTTATGAACGTATAAATGTATCAAAATCATACCTGCTTACACCTGGCTGCGAAGAGGTGCTGCCGGGTGCGCAACGGCAATTTTTAGCACATACTTGATGAGTACACTGATTCTGCAGCCGGATCTCGTAGGTACTATAGGTAGATAGCGTAGTGTATCCCAAACTACAGACTTTAGCAATAACTAATTAATCATCATCAATTACCAGTCCTTTGCCCAATTTCATTTGAGATCGGCGTAATTTATAGTTTTTTTTTCACATCACATCATCAGCCTTTAAAAGTCCACTGCTGGACATAGGCCCCTCCTCAGAAAGGAGGTTTTGGCCTACTATAATACGCTGGCCACACGGGTTGGTATAGGGTTTGTGTCAAGTTTTCCTTCTCTTTGCACTGGTGTTGTCCTGCGTAGTTTGTTCCCTTAGTCGGCTCTTACGACACCCACGGGATGAACAGGGATGGCAACACTCCGTATTCTTAATCCGTCACCACACGGACTATAAGTTTTTGAGATCGAGTAATGTTAGACAGAAGTAGTTACATTGGCAAAAGACCAGTAAACTGACTGTCGAGCCCACTATTTACATGTTTTTGTTTTCAGACTCAACTTCATTTTAAATTCTCAAGTACCTATTTGTCATTTTTCTCAGTGATACTATTTGATAGTACGTATCTATACTATGTGTTGGAAACTTCAATATCTTTGTGTGTATCGTGGTCATAGTTCGAGCTTGTTATTGCTTTATTTGTACAAATTAATAACATTAAGTAGATACATCTCATATACGGGCGTCTGATACCAAACTGGACAGAGCCTCTGCTATCGGAACCAGACTGCATATTATAGATAAATTACACCCAGCCACAGAACATTTTTTTTTATTTATTCAAAGTGTAAACAAAATAATAAGATACATATACACATACATACATAGCATTTCCTAAGCCACGAAGGTTTATAACTAATGATAAGCGTTAGTCTAGAATGTCTAGATCGACAAAGTATCTGAATTAGATGCAGTTTCTGTTCGAAATAATATTTTAAGCAATTTGTAAATAAAAAAAACTGCCCATTAAAATAATCTTTTTTATTTAAAATATACCTGGTATTCATTATTTTAGAATTCTTCATTCTTCAAAAAAGAAGAGCTTAGAACCTATTTACAAAATTTGACCAACTATTTTTAGAAAAAAATGAGTTTAATAATGACCATAGGATGCAATAAATTGTATTGTAATCTATCTGCCGACAGTGTGGTGTGTCAACATCTTTAAGGTTTATACAGAGACGTGAATAGGAAGTATATCCCTAAAGACATTGACTACATCATTTTATTATTAAATTAAATATTATACTTTGTAATGTGATGTACTATATGTATTGAATAAAACCTACTTAAAGATAAAGAAATTTTACAAAACATCTGTAATCGTGACTCTAAAGTTATTTACATATTTCAATATAGTATTCATTTTTTTTTACCATATAATCATTTATGATAAAACTTAACGACTTGAGACTTGCCCTTTGAGATCAATAGACAATATATTCCCTCATTTTTCAAACACCTAAAATACAATCCTCTTCCGGTGCGTCTTCATTCAATGTGCTCTCGTCCAGACATACAATGGGCATATCTTCAATTTCCTCCAATTGCAGATCTACGTCAGGTTCATCGTCCATGGGCTCATCGACCACAATCGGTAACTTATCTGTACTTTTAACATTTATAATTTTGCTGTTCGATGGTAAATTTATTTCTCTTTTCTCTTCTCGTGTTTCACTTACATTTTGATTAATTTCTGTTTCAACTTTTCCTGCTGCTCTGATTTTTGTGGCTATTTTGGCCAAAGGTTCGTCGTCGGAGGAGTCGTCTGATGGTAATTTCTTACCTAGATTGTTTGAAAAATCATCACGTATCGAGGTATTAAATTCCTGTTTTCTTTTTAACTTTCGACGCTCAGAGTCTATGGCTAACGATGCGTCGATGATCCTCTTCTGTATTTGTTTTAATTTTCGCTCTAATATACTTGGGCGGATAGCTGGTGATTTAAATAACTTTAACGGTTTCACTTCACCATCTTTGTTAACATTATTACCAATGACTCGTTGGTCTATAACACTACTACTGATGTCATCGTCTACCAAACTTCCACTGACTCCTTCATATCTTGCGTCTAAGTCAGATGAGCTTGTGGTTTGGTCAACATAAGCCGGTCTTTGATCTAGAATTTCAATCGATTGACTTGCTGTCAAATTTGATTCTAGTATTGCCTGTGTTATGTCAGTGACTTTATAGACATCATCATCATCAGTTAAATCAATGATTGGTTTCGGATCTAATGAATTACTGCTTCTATGTTCCATTTCACCAAATTTTCTCAAATACTGTTGTTTTCTTTGGTTGGAGTCCGTAATTTTTTTCATGCAGACATTTATGGGCATTAGTATCCCCGTTTCTAAGTCTAATTTAAAAAATGATCCGCTTTGTGCGCATGCGTATTTTAGTTCAGATAATGAGGTTATAGGAGTAAGCGAACTAGTGAAAACCTTTTTTAATTTTGGCTCCATTTTTCCAACAGTATCGTCGGCCTTTGATGTGTGTGCAATTTGTACAGAGGGGTTCTGCTCAATCGTAGAATTAATAGGTTGTAACAAAGGAGGGTTTATTGTGTGTTCAATAGGCTGTATCTCTTTACAGTTATTGTTTTGACTAGAATCAGGTCCTTCTCCAGTTGGTGTGTGCAACTGTTCTACCGTTATCACTGGAGATGAAATTTCTTTGGAGGTAGATGCAACCACTGGAGATAAATCTTCATTAGGAATAGATCTAACCTCTGGGGATAAATGTTCTTTGGGGGTGGATGTAACATCTGTTTGTTCAATACCTGACATTGCCATTAAATCAGACAGTATGTTGTTAAATTTTCCACTGTTTTCTTTGGTTTCAATAGGTGTGATAACCTTTTCAGAAGTATTTACATCTATTGTTTTTTTTGGCTCTACAGCAGTTACAACAGTTTTCGTTTCTTCTATGTTAACTGTAGGAATATCACCAGATCTAATTTCCTCAGTATCTTCTGTATGCGACTTGTGACTACTTGTTGTTTGATCTACACTATTTTCAGACATTGAAACTTCAGATTGTTGTTCAGTGTTTTCTTTGACATCAGTCGTTTCATCATCAGAAAGATCAATAACTTCGTTTTGTAAATTGGTTGAAATGGGTTGTGCAAGAGTACCATTTATCTGATGCTGAATTGCTGAAATCAGTAGTGGCAGTGTTGCCATAAATTCTTCACTCACTTCTATCTTACAATCTCTTATATAAGTTAATCGTCCAGAGGGAAGAAGTAACAATTGAATGCCTTTAGGGAGAGCTAGAGTTTGTCTTATATTAGCTTGGAATGCTTCAAACGCCTTGAAATTTGGAGGAAATATCGCCGTAGTCAATAATATTTTATTTTTACCTAAAAATATTGGATTATCCGAAGGAAGCTCTGATATTTGTTTACTATTTAAATATATCATTTTTTTATTTAAAAAAATTTTCGGCATTTCGACTTTGGCAACTGTAAGGTTGGGAAGAGGTTTTATAGGTTTCTCAGGGGACATTTCTTGTATTTTGGATAGATTAGTAGGATCATCGGCGACTTCTTTTTCAACAACGTCTAAGTTCTGTGTGAAAACCAAATTTCGGTCTAGTTGTACTTGACTATGTTTTTCCTGGATAATTTGCTTTTTTAGACTTTTTTCTGAAGTTTTTCTGGACCAGGGCGCAGCTCTTACCCGTATAAGGGCTTTTGGTTTAACAGTTGGAACTATATTTGTCTTAGTGGCGGTAATGTTCTGTGAATCTTTTGTTACTAGACTTTCACAAGTTGTGACAGATATTTCAGCACCTATGATTATATCACTCCCATTTTCTTTGTCCATTTGAGTCCCTTCTTCTTGGTTTGAATCATGCCCACTAACCACAGTGTCCATATTAACTTCGCTTTCAATGGTATCATTATTGATGTCTTCATCTTCTTTGCAGGAAGGGTAATCAGAAGTTGACATTTCGGCAGTTTTTTCTTCTGTAGGAATAGCTTCTGCCACTACAGCAATTTCTTTATTTTCCTCAACAGAGGTAACATCTTCGCTACCAGCATCGCTTAATTCAGAAGTTTGAAAACCTAAGGGTAATGCACCCGTTGCTCTTTTAGGTTTGACAACTTCCTTTTTTTTCCTAATGAACTCTACCAAAGCGGCTCTACAACAACACAAACATAACGGAAATGGACACTTATGTTTAGTTATTTGCTTCTTCGAAAATATTAGTTGGCATATTCTTTCACGGGCCCAACAACAGTAGAGAAGTTTTTGTTTCCTATCGGTATTGGATTGAAGAGTTTTGCCCTTTCTACATTTTTTAGCTTCTGCATTGTCTAGTTTAATTTCACTTACAACTTGTACATCATCGTTACCGTTATCATCTTCAAGTGAGGGTTTAACAGTTAATTTTTCTTTACGCGCAGCACCTTTTTTCTTCCCTTTATTACCCTTTCCTGGCGGCATATTGGGTGTGGTTGCAGTCATATCGGTTATGAGATATAACATTTTATTAAGGGAATCTAAAGCTAAGAGGGTATCCTCTGCATAAATACTATTCTTAGTACTGTACCAAGGTACTTCTGGTTTGAGCCTAGGTTTCCATGGAGGAGGTTTGTAAGTAGTTTTCGTACTATCCTTATTTCCTGCTACATTTTTCGTTTGTGAATCGTCTTTACTAATATTATCTTCTTTAGTTATATCTACCACTTGTTGACTCATTAACTTTGTTCTACTAGCAGGGCCCGCAATCGATTTATCGTTTGTAGTAAACATATATTTAGGATAACTTTCAACATTTCTTGTATTGACAAGAGTCACGGGTACTTGATTGGAACCGTTCCTTACTTGTAGTGGTGTTACTTCTGCTGTTAGAAGCTGTTGATTAATTCTTCGAATCTCGGATATATCAGGCAAGTTTATAATTCTATTCCTTTCACATGCTACAGGAGGTAATTGTACCGGTTTCTGCTGCTGAATGGGCGAATAAGACATGGGCGGAATATCACCTCTGGTATTATCTATGAGACTCTGTACGGCCATTGCTGATGGCACTACAGACACATTTTGATTATTCTCTTCTGGTTCTAAATCTTTGTGTAGGCTTTCACTGTCAGTCATTTCCAAATACATTGTTCCTTGAACAAGTTTATGCTCAAAGGCTTTGCTAACATCTATACTTAGTGGTTTGCAAGCTTTCAGCAATAATCGATTACGAGCCGAGCTAAAGAAGCCAACGTTTAACTTTTTAAGCCTGGTATTAAAATCGGGATTCTTGCATAACTGTATAGGATTGTACGTTCGAGAACGTGGTTTCTGTAGCAGATTGCTTGATAGTTTTACTCTTTTAATATTTTCAACTATACCGCCATCAGATGATTCCGATTCATCTGCCTCTCTTTTTATAGGATTTGACGCGTATATTTCTTTTTTTATAGGTCTTGATAAATTTACCTCTTTCTTAATTGGTTTAGTTTTAGCTGTTATAATGTCTATTAAACTTTTAGAATCGACATGGCTTATCAAGGGTATAGGCAATATACCCAAATCGTCTAGTTTTACCATTTTTACTACTGGAACTAAAAGTAGTTTTTCATCGACTTTTGGTTCGTCTTCTTCCATTGTCTCCAGTACAGAATCCTGTTCGTCTATTTCGATTATAGACATAATTTCACTTTTTATCTCGGCTGTAAATATAATAAAAAACAGTTACTTAAAACATTAAAAAGAATACGAAGCTAAATATTAAAAAAGTATTCGAAAACAGAGAGACCTCCACAAAATGATTTACCGTAAATCAGTATTACGTAAATCATTGTTGGTGTATTACGTAAACTGGTGCTCGATTAGAGAAGACTACAACGTTGTGTGTGAATATGGCGACTTTATAACTCCGAGATCGAGTTTACAGTCACACAAATGAGCGTAAAGATGCTCTTCAATTAATCTAAGAGTTCAATCAGAAGAGCAACCATAACATATTATTCTATATTTCTATATTCTATATATATCTATATATATTTCTAAAAGAGGAATTTTATATCAGGTACTTACGCATTTGGTATGCAGACTCATCATCTACATAAGCGATTCCATCATCTACAAGTTGAATCCCATCATCGGCAAAATCGATGTCGTTAGACAAATCACCAAACCATCTTTTAGTTAAATCTGGTTTTGTATTGTCATCACAATTTAATTTACTATTGGTAGATTTAAAAGATGCAGATTCATCTTTAATGGCAACTTTGTCCACGTTTATCTTAGCATCATCGACAATGATCAACTCATCCGAATCATCGTGAAGTGGTATCGATTTAGCACTCGTGTTTTCTGGTTTATGTTCATTTTCAAGTGTAGCTTTAAGCGGGAATTTGGATATTTGCGCTGTAAAAAGGCTAATTTTTGATAGATTTTCACTCGAGACGTCGAAGCCACCAAAAATGCTGGTTATTTGTGGTAACACCTGTTCTGGTTCTTTTTGCATGTCAATGTTATTATTTTGGGTTTCTACATCTTCTACTAATGGGCTTTCTACATTTTCGCAATCATTGCTGGTTGTAGTTTCATTTCCTTTTACAAGACCGCAGTTAGCTTCACTTACGTTTGCTAAGTTGGCCTCACAGGAGTCTTCTATTACTGCGGTTTCATCATTTTCATCGTTGACCATAGGATCCATATGTGGAATATCAGTCTCTACTTCCGGATGTGGGGACAGAAGACTAGCTGTATCATCAACTAGTTCAATTTCATCAAGTGCAATTGCAGTTGCCTCCATAGCAGCTTCAGCAAAATGAAGAATTTTTTTTTGACGATTTTCAGAAGGAGTATTTTCATCGATATCTTTATCTATCGGTTCTTGCTTTACTGTTATTAGTGCCTGATCATTACTTTGGGATGTTTTCCTGTATTCTAGCTCTTCATCTGATTTGGAATCGACGTCTAAGTCGATTGTTTCTACGACTGGTTCTATGCACATGACGTCAGGGTCGATATCTGAAGTTAACAAGCATACTGTGTTTGAAAATATTAATTGATTATTTACTATCGATAATGTACTTTATTCCTAAAATGTATATAGATTATTTGACTGAACTTAAATACGAAATGCATATATTAAGAAATTGCATCAGTTTATAAGGTTTTCATCTTACCGTCACTATGGGCTGCCTTGATGTTTTCTTTGCGTTCCTGAAACATTAATTATCGTGTAAATATGTCTGATTTTTAAGGATCTTTAGATTGCGACACTCAAAATACGAACTAGCGAATTATCTACTAATAAGAAATTAAGTAATGAAATATAAACAACACATTTATTTTTTATTATGTTATGTTTAACAATAGTCTGGTTACCATAGTACAGGCTCTCTGCCTAGATTAAAATCAAAGGGCCGTGTTTAATAACATATATTTAATTATTACTTACAAACGCTTCCGGTGATATAACGAGAGTATTCTTTATTAATTCTTCCCATAACATAAAAGGTTTGACCACCAATGGCTTGTATCTGAAAAATTTAAATAAAAGAAAAAAATTGAAATACAATATTTACAGGTTGCATGCTATTAGCGGCAGTAATCATTTTACCATCGGATGACCCGTCTGCTCGTTTGGAGGGTGAACGAGTAGACTGGTTATCTCGGAGTCTAGTTTGTACAAACTGACCAGCCCACTCGTTCACTCGGTCAGTGAAATAAACACGAGTTTATTTCACATTAACTCGCTCTTGACGGCGACCTCGTTCGGAGTTGCGATTAGTAAAAAGTGAAACGCCGAACGCGATCGCCGTCGAGAGTGAGTTTAAGTAACCAGTGATATCACTTTTGTATAATGAGCAGTAAGGTGACAAATCATAGCACGACCCGTCTCATAGCCCACTACAAGTGTTGGCCGGAAAACCTCCCTGGGATTTGGAGTCTAAAGTGCTCGCCGAAATATATCGGCGGACGTCTGAGTTCCGAGCGGATAGCGGCAATCGGCCCCCGCCCGAAGAGATACACGATTGGCGTGAGGCCGCTCGTCGAGATACGATGGCTTGTTGGTCGTCCCGGCTGGAGGCTCCGCGTGCTGGCTTTGCCGCCGTGGAGGCGCTCCAGCCGTACATCGTCGAGTGGGCAGGGCGGCAGCACGGGACCCTTGCCTTCCGGCTGACAACCTCCAGTCGGAGCCAATTCGTCGCCGGCGAATCGGCCTCATGCCGCCCTGAGTGTGGCGGGACGGGTTTTCTTCTCCACCCGCCATAACGGCCAGCCGCGAGGGGGCAACGTCCGCGTGTGCCGGACGTCGCCTAAATGGAGAATGTACTCGAAGATGGTGCCCGCGCCATTGCGGGCAGGCGCTAGGAGGGGCCCGGATGTCTTAATAATAGCAGTTTCCGGATCTCTCCTATTACGGGCGCAGAGTGGCACACCGTTTGGTTTTAGTCAGTCTGATTGCGACACACCACCACGCCGCAAACCTCGTTGGAGTGACGGCTCGAGGGGGTTTTCACACGTAATATAAAAAAGGTGTGCAAACATTTTATTTATTGGTAACTGCTACACATATTAGAGGCCTCAGATTGCCTGGCAACTGCTGGTTGAAATTTCAGGTTTTCCTACTTTATTTCATATCAAATCAATCGTCACTTGGTTTGGTAAAAAGTTCAGTGCGGGCCAATCGCCAATCGCAAAGCCGATCGCGGTCGACGTGATGATCTAGAAGATATATAATACATAATAAACTCACACTAGGCCCTCTGTTACTTACACTCACGAATTCATCCATTTGTATTAGTATCCAGTAATTCCAAAAAAAACCTTTCTTAGTTTTTGCTTACAGTATAAAAAGCATCAGCTACAACAATTTTAAGTTTGTAAGTGGTGTGGTCGTTTAGTCTCTGCGTTGATAATTCGGCTAGTCAATCAGGGCGAGTAATCTTATATGTATAGATGTCCCTTATCCGGCATTCACATTTATTCTTATTTGTGTTTCCCTTTCATCTTACATCATATTTTCTGGTCTTTAATTCCAAAACTGCCTGGTTAAATGTCATATCTTAAAACGCATACATTATACACACTTGAGAAAATATACCTTAATAAATAAAAAAAATAAAAAGTCCCAAAAACCGGATTTATAAGTAAAAAAATAGATTCGAAATAGTTCGACTATCCGGTTTTTGCGGTTAACTAATACGGTTATCATGCCTATGAAGGTACTAACCGAAAAGCAATCCTTGCCTGCAACGGTGTCGGTTTGAATGGTTCGGCCAACTGTTGCCTTTTCACGATACCTTTATACACTGACCAGTATTTGTAAAACCGGGCTCTGGTGGCCAATTTAAGCTGGTACCAGCGTCGTTGAAGTAACATTGGAGTACATTGGCGGCCGCTGAAACAATAAATTAGTTAGTTCACACAACTGGTTGCACTTAGGTTGCTTCGTTACCAATAACTATTTTTGATTTCAGATAGCATACTTCTACTATGAATTGACACACTGGCATATCAGAACTATAGTGTTCGCATTAAGAAAATAGTGACATGTACATAAAGGTACGTTCTTTTTTATGGAATAAAACATAGGAATAAGTTTAGCAACGCGCAATTGACACCATACACGGCATACACCATTGGTGACTGTAGTGCTAGAGAAAGGCATATTACAACCGCCTGAGGCAAGTGGAAATCGGTCCACTCATTCCATCGATCAGTCGGAACAACCTGACATACAGATAGAGCAACAATTTTTCCATGTAATCAAACCCACAACTCTCAGCGCAATGGGAAGCGACGAGGTGACTGCGTGCAGTCAATTGATTTTTTTATATAAGCACAGTTTAAACATTGAGATCCATTTTTTCTTTGATATTACAAATAGACACTCACGTAAAGATTATTTTAAGTGTTACTTACTCGCTATTATATTCTAAGGTAACCCTCAACCAGGCTTCGGTCAACTCGTCGCCAGCTAAAAATTCTATTGTGTGCTTCTCCACCAGGTCGAATAGATCCACTAAGATCTTTTTATCTTCGGTTGTAGTTTCTTTCTGAAAAAAAAGCATTAATTATTTAATTGCCGTAATTTATAAAATATCTATCTGATGAACAACTTAAAGAAAGTGTGTCTGTATTTACTATCTGTACTTATATGAATAGTTTTATTAACTTTAGTCTATCTAGGAAAAATACGGTTAGTACTTTAAATGTAAACATATTTTTTTTATAAATAAGCGATTAAAAAAAAGTTTTTAATGCGGCGACTTCTCCAAAAAATTATCCCCTCCTTTCAGCTGTAAGACATCCACTGCTGGACATAGGCCTCCCCCAAGTTCAAGTTTTGCTACAGCAACAGGTCAACTTATGCCCGGCATTACTTGAATAAAATGCAATGAAGATACACCGAACTACGACACCTGGTCTATATTTTCGTCAGTTCGTTGTTACTATTACTAATTATGCATCACGCAATGAAAGTTATGGCACCAATTACAATACAACTTCCCAACATCGACCGTTGGCGTCGTCTGATCACATCGCCTGGTCGGAGGATCCTTCCTTTGTGTTAGGAGCAACATAACACTCATTCTTCTAGTGTTGATCCCTACATGATTGGAAGCAGCCTTCAAGAAGCGTATCAGCAACATCATTATCGTCACCATTGTAGACAGCAATGAGCGGTAATCAAGTCTTAGCCAGCCAGTATCCTTGACCTCAAAAGTGATACTACACGCCTGCAGTGACCGCTCAAGCCTAGCTAGCTGCCTTACGGCCCCAAAAGCGTTTAAGTACAGCACACTGCACCTGCGGTCCATATATGAAGAGCATTTTTCTCCCGTCTTCGCTACACGCAGCCATTACGCAGCAACGGGCTCGACTCAGTTAAGGGACATAACACATGTTCATTAATTGACGGCTCTAATAGTATAGTGGCTAGTGACCCGGACTCTTCAACCGGAGGTCGTGGGTTCGATCCCTACCCAGGACAAATAATTGGGTGATAAACACGATCGTTTGTTCTAGGTCTGAGTGTAACTTATCTATGTATTTTTATAGTATAAAGGGCAAACCAGCAGACGAGTTACAAGTGCGTTTTCGCCGTTTGATTCCTCCCCCTATAGTCACGGGAGCCCAGAGCCATAAACCCCCTCGGTTTGGGCTCTGGTACATGTATTTAGAAATATTTATATAAGTAAGTTAGTCAGTTGCCTAGCATAGCCTCTGTCTAGTTTGTAATCAGACTGCCGTGTGTGAGATGTGTAAAGTTATTATTATAATTCACAGTAATATTCTTTTACAAGATAACTGATAAAGGATTTTGGACTCACTTACCATACCAATAACGTCGAAGTCTTCGTGCACGAGTACCGTGTCAAACAACAACCAATCCGTGATAGACATACGAGCTGGTTTCGGCAATAAATCAGCGCGATCTTCGACTTGCAACAAACGGTCCAATTTCTTTATAGTCAAAGCATGCATACGGCTCCTGAAATGCATTACTTAAATTATATCCTAGCTAATAATAGGTAAAAATGCGAATAATATGCTTTCACGCCTTAACTCTGTATTAGTAATGAATTTAACTCATTGTAAGAAGAACTGCGTAGGTTTAAAAGCATTAAGGCAAAGCATTAAGAACATAATTATCTATCTATAAATCTAAACTCCTAGACCGTTCGGCGGTTCTATCTAACGGATTTGCTTAATTGTTGAATGAAAGGTATTGCTGGACGAATTTCTCGTAGCATTATAAATCACCTAACTTTCACCCCTCACAAGTTACACTAAAAAGTTATGTACCACCATATTCCTGTACTATTCTTATGTTTTCATAGATTATTCTTATGTTTTCATTATTTTTATATTCTCTATACCTTTGCCATTTTAATTTGATTAAGTTGGAAGTAAGACAGATGTGAACAATGAACCTAAACTCCCTTGACCGTGGTCTCAGCACTAAGATCTAGTCGTAACCGCTAGTTGCTGTTGCTGAGTGTAGGCATCTTTCTTATTTGAAAAAGATAGGTAACCATAATGCTAAAATGTACTAATATTGACTCACCATAGCTCCTTACAATCACAGCCTGTCTCTTTTCTCAGCCCTACCCACACTTCTTCTTCGTTTCTCTTTTCATGCAGCAGCATTCGAGCCACGGCCCGAATCAACCGCCGCTTGAACTTTTCCAGTTCAATATTACTGCCGCAGGGCCGTAAATTTCCGTATTCTTCATTTGTCTCTGTAAACAAATAAATGTATGAAAAACATTACAACACATTACTTTTTAATTACACAGTTTACCTTTCCTGTAGATAAATAACAAATCCTGTCTCAGTGCTCACTATTCTTATACCTACCAAAAATAAGTAAGTATATTTGGCCTCAGCTAATACAATAACCTGTACTTCACAGATATACTTGACCTTAGATAACCAGTATTCAGATTGTAAGTAGGTATGGCAAGTTATAGGGACCTTTAACCAGAGAGCGCGGTTGAAACGTCTGATGAGTGTGGAGGGAAACTATATCTCGTACCACAGTTCGTTATATATTATTTGTCAAGCGGCTAAGCTGTATGCGGCCAATTATTTGTCATATGAGCGAACAACAAACATGCCATCCACACTTTGAACCGGTGTGGCAAACATGCTGTGGCGTACCTACTTACACCACATCCTACGAAGTTATTAGCCCCGCTCAACTTTCGCAACTTGGACCATACACCCGAGGCAGTAAACAAAAGGATGGCGTGTGACGTCGCACCGGCCTAGCGACCGGCAATGTACGGACCTACCTACGCACTCCGCGTTCGGCGCTCACGCTTACTACCGCTCATTATTTTTGTATCGAGTTAATATCTATATAGCTGTTAATTTTGTAAAGATTCTTTTTAAAATATAATTGTTGGAACTACTAAACTATCGTTCATCATTCGACTTCCACCTCAGTGTAGTGATATTTTTTCTTAAACGTCCTACCTACCTCACTGGATAAGGATCCCGGTACGAACCTTGGAATTAATGTGGTGGCAATTCCCCCACATATTGGTGACCCCGAAAGCAGAAGAATTTTGAAGATTGTTGCGCCGGATTTTTTGAAGGTAGAAGATTTTTCAAGGTTTGCGGCTGAAAATCGGGAATATCCAGGATTGCATCAGTGCATCAGTCTTAACAAGGGAACCTGTTTCTAAGGTACTTTTTTGAAATACTTGGTGTAATTAGTATTGAGAAATTACTTAGATACATACCACTTTCACTTTCATAGAAATTTTAGCGTGTGGTCCAAGTCACAAGCGGCAAGCGACTTAATATTTTTTTTTAAATTAAAGATGTCTAATGAGGATGGTCCTATTCCGAACGCAATAGTGGAGGAGCCTCAGGTATCGCGCGTGGGAGTGCGCGTCCCACCTTTTTGGCCTGCGGACCCTACTGTATGGTTCGCGCAACTGGAGAGTCAGTTTATCCTCTCTAGGGTGGTCACCGACGAAACCAAATTCCATTATGTAGTTTCACAGCTCGACACACAATACGCAATGGAAGTGAAGGACGTAATTAAAAATCCTCCAGCATCGGGCAAATACGAGAAAATAAAGACTGAACTTATTAAACGATTATGTGCATCGCAGGAAAAGCGTTTGAAGCAGCTGCTGGAGCGAGAGGAGCTAGGAGACCGGAAGCCCTCGCAGTTCCTGCGCCACCTAGAGGGTCTAGCAGGTGCAGACGTGCCCAGCCAATTCATGAAGACTATCTGGACCAGCAGGTTACCCCAGGAAATCCGAACTGTTTTAGCCTCTAGGAGGGACGAGCCACTGGAGTACCTGGCTGATTTGGCTGATTCTGTCTACGACATCGCTGCACCATCTCCTCAAGTCGCTAGTACATCATCCTCAGGTGCTGATCGGTTCGACGAGATGACTAAGCAGATAAGCGAACTCACTAGGCTAGTAGCTTCACTTACCTCTCACATGTCTAGGAAAGGGCATCCCGGACGCAGTCGTTCCAAGTCACAGCGAAGCGATCGCTCACGCAGTCGCTCGAGACCACAGCAGCCACCTCCGAATCATCCTCACTGCTTCTATCACTTCACATACGGAGCTAAAGCGAAGAAATGTAAGCAACCTTGTACCTTCACGTCGGGAAACGCACAGGGCGGTCGGAAGTAGCGGCCAACGACTGCCCACCTTCAACATCATCAGGCCGTTTGTTTGTGACAGATCGTGCAACGAAAATGCAGTTCCTTGTGGACACTGGTTCCGACCTGTGTGTTTTCCCACGTTCAGCACATAAAACGCCCTGCTCACTTACCAAATACGACCTGGTAGCTGCAAACAATAGCGTCATCCATACTTACGGACCAGTTCAGCTTCACTTGGATTTGGGACTTCGGAGAGATTTTGCATGGACTTTTACAATCGCCGATGTATCTCGACCCATCATTGGTGTCGACTTGCTCAGTTTCTACAACTTACTCGTGGATTGCAGAAACCAACGTCTCATTGACGGTACTACAACCTTGTCAGTAGCAGCCCTTTCGTCTTCGGTTCCTGATGAGCTGTCTTCCATCAAGGCGGTCACTGGTGATTCGGATTTTCATCACATTCTTCGTGATTACCCTGAAATCACCAGACCTGCAGGTATTCAGTCTCCTCCCAAACATAGTACAATGCACTACATTAAGACTACCCCTGGACCTCCAGTCTCGTGTAAGCCTCGTCGTCTTGATCCTGTTCGCCTCCAAGCTGCGAAAAAGGAGTTCGAGGATATGCTCGCCAGTGGTATAGCTAGACGCTCTGAAAGTCCTTGGTCCTCTGCACTGCATTTGGTGAAGAAGAAGGATGATGCCTGGAGACCTTGCGGGGATTACCGTGCCCTAAATGCTAGAACCGTTCCAGACCGGTATCCCGTCCGCCACATCCAGGACTTTTCGCACCAACTGTCAGGTTGTTCCATCTTCTCTACTATAGACCTAGTCAAGGCCTATAATCAGATTGCCGTCAATCCAGAAGACATACCTAAAACTGCCATTACTACTCCTTTTGGGCTTTTTGAGTTCCCGTACATGACCTTTGGCTTAAGAAACGCGGCTCAAACTTTCCAAAGGTTCATCGATATGGTTCTGCTGGGACTCGACTTCGCTTATGGGTATATTGATGACATCCTCGTTTTCTCCAGTTCTGTGGAGCAGCATAAGGAACACCTGCACATCATCTTTCAGCGCCTCAAGGAGTATGGAGTGTTAGTAAACACTTCCAAAAGTCATCTGGGTCAGTCTGAAGTTGTCTTCCTCGGATACAGAGTATCAGCTGCTGGAACACAGCCTCTCCAGTCTAAGATCGAGGCCATCCAGAACTTCCCGGAACCTAAAACGGTCAAAGAGCTTCGTCGATTCTTGGGTATGATCAACTTTTATCATCGTTTTCTACCCCACGCAGCTCAACTTCAAGCACCTTTGAATGCCGTTCTATCTGGTCCGAAGGTTAAGGGTTCACATCCTGTGGAAATGACTCCAGAACGTCGTAAAGCTTTCGAGGACTGCAAAGCTTCTCTCTCTCATGCAGCTCTCCTTGCTCATCCAGATCCTTCTGCAGAGTTAGCGATCGTCACGGATGCTTCTTTGACTTCCATCGGAGCTGTACTTCAACAGAAGAAAGGTGAGGATTGGCAACCTCTTGCGTTCTATTCACACAAACTTTCCAGCTCACAGATGAAATACAGCCCATACGACCGCGAACTCCTGGCTGTCTATGAGGCTATCAAGTATTTTCGGCACATGGTGGAAGCGAGAACCTTTACTGTCTTCACGGATCACAGGCCGCTTACCTACTCCTTCTCCATGAGCAAAGAAAACTGTACTCCAAGACAGTTCCGCTATCTGGACTTTGTAGCCCAATTTACTACCGATATACGCTACCTGCCAGGACGAGACAACGTGGTTGCGGATGCACTTTCTCGGGTTGAGGAAGTATCACTTACCTTAGACTATCAGGCTCTTGCACGTGCTCAGGACGAAGATCCAGAACTGCAAGACCTGCTACTACGTGGTTCTGCCCTAAGACTACAAAAGGTACTTACCTTGAACAGCACTCTTCCAGTCTACTGTGACATGTCTGTTCAGCCACCTCGACCATACATTTCGCCGAGTTTCAGGAAAACAGTCTTCGCGATGCTGCACAACTTACATCATCCCGGTTGTTCTGCTACAGTGCGACTGGTCACGCAAAAGTTTGTGTGGCCAGGAATCCGCAAAGATTGTAGAGAGTGGGCTAGGCAATGCTTGCAATGTCAATCAAGTAAAGTTACTCGCCATACTACCTCTCCTCTATCCACATTCCTGACTCCTTCTTCTCGTTTCTCACACATTCATCTTGACCTTATTGGTCCCTTGCCATCTTCCTCTGACTACATGTACTGCCTCACCGTCATCGACAGGTTTACACGTTGGCCTGAGGCGTACCCGCTTAAATCAATCACGGCTGAGTCTTGCGCTGCAGCCCTCGTCTCTGGGTGGATCGCCAGATTTGGTTGTCCAGCCCGGATCACTACCGACCGTGGTCGGCAGTTCGAGAGCCATCTCTTCAAAGCTCTCTCCTCCCTTCTTGGTGCCAGACACTTTCGCACTACTGCTTACCATCCCGCCGCCAATGGCATTGTCGAACGCTTACACCGACAACTAAAAGCTGCAATAATGTGTCATTCTTCCTCTCAGTGGTTAGAAACTCTTCCGCTTGTTCTTCTTGGCATGCGTAGTTCTTGGAAAAAAGACCTTCAAGCATCTCCTGCTGAGTTGGTTTATGGTGAATCTCTCCGCTTACCTGGCCAGTTTCTTTCCCCTTCAGACTCTTTCACCGCCGCTGACGTCACTGAGTACGCTACTCGACTCAAATCCTACATGGCTAAGCTTACGCCATGGCATACTTCTTCTCCATTCTATCTGCCCAAAGATCTCTCTTCTTCTTCCCACGTCTTCCTTCGACAGGATCGCGTGCGAGCTTCTTTGGAGCCACCTTATTCAGGACCTTTCAAGGTTATCAACAGACATGCCAAGTTCTTCACTATAGACGTCAACGGCAAAACTACTAACGTCTCTATTGACAGGTTGAAGCCAGCGTACATGACGAAGGAAGAACGCTCATCCACTTCCCCGTCGCTTTCTGCTGTACCGCTTGCTTCTACACCCGCTGCTACTACAGTGCCTGCATCCCAGCCTACTCCTGGTGATGAAGTGGAAGAACGAAGAACG